ACTGACAGAAGAATAGTATGTTAGTATCTTTGCAATCAATCATAGCGATGATGTACTAATTGATTGGTATCAAGAAATCTATACTTATTTCAGTGCCTCTTCGCACTAATTAAGTAGGTACTGGTTAACTAAGGGTTATACTGTAAACGTCCTTACATTAGTACACTATTTAAGCGATCAAGGGTACAACCGATCTTAAAGCGCAATTATAATACCTGTGTACCGTATACGTTTGTGATGTCAGTGCAATCTCTCGATGAGAAAGCTTGCACATATTATAGTTATATCCTGTCCACCTGGGCACAGTGTAACCGATCTAAGACCTAGGGGGTCGGCAGAGGCAATGCCTTTACCGATGATTTAAGGGTTCAATAATCGCTTTATCTTAGCAACAACAGGGTGTCATTTGTCTCTTATAACAGTGTTTGTAGTAAGTAAAATCAGAATCTATATATTCTAACCAATTACCTGGATATGTTATCGCTGAAGAACCCTACCCTACTTACCCTCCGACACAAATATACAAGAAAGCTCAATACATCGTGCGTTTTATACATCCAGTATTTAAATTAATCCGAAATTTAAACTTTCCGTCAAAATAAAGTTCGATATATTTGATGGTTGGGATTATTATTTACAATGTTGACCCTTTAGTCGACGTGAAGGACTGTTACTTTCTGACAGAGGATACTCCGATCTTTGATTTTAAAGTAGTTCGTACCGAGCTTATATAAACTTTAGTTATCGATAATGATTTTTTACTGTTCACATGGGGTGTCACAGCGATTTCAGTAGTGAAGTGCTGGCAGAGCGCAAACGTGTTTTACACAGCATTATATATCTTCTGTGACTGTATCTCACCGCAACCACGTACAGCTTTCATGTCAAAGCTATTAGTAATCTAGAGTCAGGGTCCACATATTAATGAAACCAGTCCAGTGGTGGATCCAACGACCTATCTGGGGGGTTTCCAAATATCCAGGGGGGTTGGGGGGTNTAATTTGGAGAAATACCGTATGCATTATCTACACTTTTGTTTTTGACTTTTGAGTGTGTTGTATAATCGCAGCGCGTAACAATAATTTGTGTTTAGAACTCAACCTTGAACATGATGCTCCTTGTTTCAGAATACACTACTGTGTACAATCAACTAATGTAATGTTAGAATGCATTTTATCTTTACCTTTGTAGATATGTTTCGGAACATTTCAGTCACGCATGGTTCATTCTATTGACTTGTAGTACCCCTTATAAATCCTAAATGAAAAAAATGACCATATGGCACAATGTAATGTTTACTCTCCTCCTCCCCCTCCTCCTCCTCCTCCTTCTCCTCCTCCTCTCCTCCTCCTCCTCCTCCTCCTCCTCGGATAAGAGAATTTTTAAATGAGAATAAAGGATAAAAGACTTTTCAGTCGGAGCTTGGGAGTTGCTGACTGTTTCCTAAGCCTCATGGAGCCAATATTCCTTCTCGTTGCACCAGAGTAGATGTATGGGTGTTGAAAAATAAAACATTGCAATATGAATCTGTATTGTAAATCCTGCTGACTGATATATCACTAAGGAAAGCGAATATAGTCCCCTTATCACAAGTTGTCAAACATTGGTTTTACATTAGGTATGTGAAACCACGTTCAAGGACAAATATAGACACCGATTCTTTATGTACCTTTCCCCATATATTGCCCCTGGAGCCAATTTCCTGCTGCTTTAAAGGGTACTACACTGATAGTTGACTAACCATAGATAAACATACCGTTCTATTCTATATATGTGTATTCGTCACAATGACCTTCATTATTTAAACATTCAGTTGGACCGCCGTAAGTCTTTATTTCCGGCTCAAGTAAACAAATGTAGGTTAAAAATAAAATCGTAAGGGACAATATCTTTAAAACAACAACAAAACACTATATAAAAAAAAGTTCCATTGAAATTGTTATATCTACTGATCATGTTTTCTGTTTAAGAGTAGGGTGTAGTATGAAAACAATGGTCTGCCAATAGTATCATCACTGAGGCTCTGTCATTTACTTATTGTGACGTCGAATTCCTTGTCGCCACGTATTTTGTCAGGTGGAGCTTTGACTAAAATGATAGGTCAAGAGAAAATAATCATCTACCCGGAGGGAGTAACACCTCGGGGTGATTTACAGAGCCTCGGGTTAAACAACCAAAAAACATCACCCCTCGGGTTGGAGATTTCTCTGTCACATCCTCAAGGTAGGGGAAGATTCTATTAACCTTTTCACGGAATCTTAAGAATTTCCAGAGAAAAGAAAAATTAACAAAGAAGTCTTAATTTCATATTACAAATATTTTTCACTAGTGACAAAATATCAGAATATTCACACCATGTATGAAATATACATGTAATACTTTTTTTGCTCCTAATATTATGTTGTTATTCGTGGTGTTTTAATTTGCATCCTGTAGTTCTCCGGGGTTCTTCGTGTTTTGTTTCGGCTAGAGTGTGTTTTGATTGGTCATGATGTTTTGATTTGCATCCGGTTTTTGCGAGGGTTTATCCATCTGATTCGCATCTAGAACTTTGTGGGATGATATGACTTCTTTGTTGTCTATTTAATGTAAATTCTTAGTAGCATTTTTTATAATATTTCTTTTGACCTTCCAATGATTTTTTTTTATGGAGGGGCAGTTTGTATTTTTGCATTCATGCACTTTTAGGGATTCTCTTTACCGGCTATATTTAAGTGACAAAGATATTTATATATTTAACCATTTGTGTGTATACTGTGTCTGTGTTGTTTTTTATACAGAGCTAAAGGGATGCAAACATTAAGTGACGTACAAATATCAGTGAATTGAACTTTAAAGGAAAATCAAACGGATATCGAATTAAACTTCATCTAGATGTGATGGTTACACCAATATGTACTTAGTCCGTAAATGTCCAAGGGTTTGAAGTACCGAGCAGTCAGTCGGAAACGTCATTTTAAAAAGCAAATGAAAGAAATATTTGGACGTTTTATGTATATAACTAAATGGAGGATAAACACAGGGATATGTACGGAATACATACTGACCGCATACTGGCCACTTATAACAAACTAGTGCATTGTCCGATTGGCCGGAGTGGGCCACACTAGCGACAGGGTCGGTGATATGGATCTACAATACAAACACGTGTGTGTATATATGTAGTTATTTGACATCATTAGTCTACGAGTTAGTGTTGATTTATTCTTTCAATATTTTCCTAACACGTTGCTCAAATTAGGGTTAGTCGAGTTATGAACTGTCTGCTGTGTTAGAGCTCTGATAAGTTATACAGAGGTTATATCCTTATGACCTGTCAAGTTATGTGTTATCTCTGCTGATGTATTCCAAAAGAGACGATTTTAAAACATTTCGTTGGGATATATGGTACTTCATGGAATTAACTGTGTAAAAAATTGCAATAGTACATAGTAAGTATTTGTCAGTCCGGTATATCGAATACAGAAGTATTCCTAAGATAAATGATATTGTACGTATATATGCATATAACATTCATATTACGTACATGAACTCAATATTCAATAAGTTTAAATATGTGCGCTTCATTAACATACATAAAGTAATTTGTTTTTCAGAACGTATTGTTATTCAAAAATAATATATGTGTATGTGTAGTGTGTATTTAGAGACAAATGTTGGTAAATGCTTATCAAACCTCCAACGATATAACCTATGATAATTATGATATTACACTGCATCAATTTCTACCATCCAATCACATTTTATAAGTACTTTTCTGCCATTCATCGAAAGATATGACTCTCGAAATTAGCTCTTGGTATCTTTACATAACTTTAAGGTTACCAAATACGGATTTGCATTTGTTTAAAACCTTTTTATAATTTTAGTTTTAAATTTGATTAAATAATTCGTCAAATTAGTTGTAGATTATATTCACACGGCAACAATTCATGCTGAACATCTACAGTTAATAAACAGATAGAAAAAAAGGAAAAAGACCCCATCATGCATGACGTAACCACTATCTAAATCGCGGTGTGTGTTTATAAAATGCCAATTACATGTTCTAGTGCTAAAGTATGTAAAGGAAGAGTCTCATACATGGAGCATGGACTTTGTGTATAGTGTCATTTGTAGAGGATATTGATGTTGCAAAAAATGGAATCATGACTAACCACAAAGCAACATGCACATTTAAATGTGCTTGCATATTTAGTCCAGTATTGGTCTGTGTCAACTGATACAGTTCATATCTGGCTGTAATTCCCTCAAGGTTGTGTCTGCTGTCTCAAAAGCGTATACATTTTAGTAATACGATATACACTGTATATACGGACACTGTACATACTGACATAATCCGATTTTTTCTTATCTATATATTAATACACTGATAGAGAGCTCTAGATACAACAAACACAATTTGGCAATATAAATAGTGGCAGCTTTGTTCGGATTACTGTAAATTTGTTATTTCCAAATCCTTGTGGTCGGTAGGTTTTATTATTTGTTGTTTTGATTCTCTTAAAACCTTAGTAAAATTTGACATCCGTAATGACATTATCTTGACGGTAATGGGTACTGATTTACAACGGCGACATGAATATGTATTAAAAATACACTACGTTATAACACCTGCACCCAATATATCAACTACTGCTGTGATTAGCAGAACAAGGATTTATAATCTATAATAAGGAGTTATATCGTTTTTATTACAAGAAATATGAGCGGCGAATTACACGAAATCTGATACACAGTCAATAATTAGCGTGCTATGTATAGAGATATGTTTGACCAGAGTTCGAAGGAATTAAATACTTAACTAGGCTCAAATGATTACTCAATAGGGCGGGTTAGAGTTGATGTTTAAAATGATATCAAATGTTTGTCAGTTAAACTTAAATTGTACTCAATAACTTTTAAAAAGACCAATTGGAAGTTTACGGCCATGGGTATTAAGCCCATTTATCTAGTTTTATGCTGCCGTAAATTGTATATTTAATAGTACGACTATACCATACCCATACCGCGGGTAACTACGTATACAGTACCCAGGGTTTGACACACGCCTATATAACTGTAACAGACTACAGAACAGTTATATGTACGCCTTAAGGATATACCTGAAGTCACAATGATATGTCAAAAGGACTTACTTTGTAGTGTCACTTACTATATAACCTTAAAATGGTCCATTTACCTGACAAGGTGTTGTCTTTGAACACATTTTCATGGAAGAGTGACATAGAATAAAAAAACCCTCTTCATATTGATGTAGAAACAAGGATATATGATATAGGGACACAGTGGCTGTACGAGATAAACATGTGACTGCATTGGAATACTACTATATGGCTTGACCTTAAGGTAAAGTTTCCATTCTTGTCTTTTAGTATTGAACCTGACTTTATTTATCTATTGTTTTGTTAATTGCTTATTTATTATTATTTATCTATTGGGTGTGTTTTTTTGAAAGGGTAGGATTATTTTTTCTTATTAAGCTTTTAAGTTGCATGTGTATAAGGCTCAAAATACAAACACAGGCATAAAGAAATGAAATTCGCCTACCATCTGTGACGGATATCAAATGCATATTATAAAACTATTTCACGTTATATTTATTGTGATAAAACTGGAGCAACGTCTCAAGGTAATATTAATCTGATATTGAAATACTTTAGTTGCTTGTTTTTAGCAAAAAAACTTTGATATCGTATAACATTAAAAACTAGATTATACTTTGATACACAATGTAAATAACTAATCATAATGATATTTTAAGAAAGAAAAAAGTAAACTGGAATGCACCTTGCTTAAGTTTACAAAATATAGATATGCTTACTGGAATAGGGACATACTTATACGTTACGGCCAGGAGCTGTATTGAACTAGTATCACATACTCCATACATTGGCAGGAACTGTGGGAAGTACCTCTTACAAATACAAAACGATTATCATTGGTGTTACTGAATAGATTGAGTAAAGGCAGCGAGTAAAAATAGGATGATGTAATAATATGTTCTAGCTGATTGCTGAGTACGAGTATCAACTCGGAGTCAATGCTGTACCTATATGTATGATTATGTAAATTGAGTTCTCAGTAATCGTTCAAACTCCTCTAAGTGAAAACAATTGTTCTTACTGCTGTTCATGTCAGACATATCCGAGATTATTTGAGATATCGTCATTTTAGCAAAACTATGTATGAACCAGGTCTTGCTTCCTATGATGATAAATATACAGACACGTATAAGATTAATACAGTATGTAAGGATCAGTGTTTAGGTATCGGACACCGTCCGCTTCAGGTCAAGGTGTAGCATTATGATATTTATATATTTATATACGATATTTCGTTATTATTTCGCTTACAATTTTGAAATCAATGCTGTACTTACTGAGCATGAACATCCATTATTAACCATTAGTTTGACGACAAAATATTCATGTTTATGTAAACCTCTATAGTATAGTTTAGATGACATATCTGAGTTGAATACTTAATGAATCTAGTTTCTCCACAGAGGTATATCCCCACAGTTAAGGGCAAGTAAAATATGGAACGAAATACTCAGTACTGTTAACACACAAGGACAAAACTGAAATTCCTAACGGAAAGATAAAAAAGAATCTCAAGTTGTTTGATATAAAACCTGTATTACCTATTTCTAAAACTCCACGTGCGTGTTTTAGGTTTATCTGTCAGGAAAATCGTCTAGACTCGTTCATGACAAACAAGTATGATCGAAACACGTTTGAGATTCTCTACCCATATCAGCAGTATATAGGTATGTTAATGGTATATAACTAATTAATATTAGATCAACAGAAACAATTTAAACAACTTATCACTTTAATGATTAATTAACACAACATGTTTAATACCACTAGTGTTTATTGCTATATATTTACAATATTGATTTGTTTAGAGTGGGTTCTTAAAATATTCTAAAATGAAGATCAGAAGATGTCGTTTTCTATCGTGATCGAATATCTGAAAATAATATGTAAATAGAAATGTATACCTTTTAGGAAGATATTTACAAGTGTGTGGGTATTAAAGGAACGCATTCCATATACTGATGTTAGTTTATTGATTACGATACGAATCTGTATTTCAACACAGGTAAAGGTGATCTGTGGCACCTATGTTCCATTCATTGTTTGTTTTGTTTTATCATCATGACACGTATACGATTACTATATAATTAGTGCAAAATACACAATATCTGGCAAGTCACATATTTAAAAAAAAAAAAAACATATGTGGTCAGTTAGACATTATAAAGAGGATATGTGACGAGTCAAGTCGTCAACAGAAATAGTATAAACGACAGTTAATACTGTTTATAGAGCCTAAGTCTAAACAACAGTTCATTCTTCTTATAAAGACGTTTTCTAAAAGACAGTTCATACCTCTTAAAAAACTATTATCTAAACAGCGTTTACTATTACTTATGAAGCCGTAGTTTGAACGACAGAATTCTGAAACTGGAACCCTTATCTATACTGTAGTTATTAACTACTGCGTATAGAGCTTAGTGTAAACAACAATTAATAGTGCTAAGAGAGTCTTAGTCTAAACGACAATTAATAGTGCTAAGAGAGTCTTAGTCTAAACGACAATTGATAGTGCTAAGAGAGTCTTAGTCTAAACGACAATCATTTCTGATAACAGACCCATATTCTCAACGACGGTTACTAGTGCTAATAGAGCCTTAGTGTAAACGACAATTAGTACTGCTTACAGAATCTTAGTCTTAACGACAGTTTTTTCTGATAACAGACCCATAGTCTAAACGACACTTAATAGTGCGTATAGGGCATAGTCTAAACAACACTTACTACTGCTTATATAGTCTTAGTCTAAACGACAGTTATTTCTGATAACAGACCCATAGTCTAAACAACAGTTACTACCGTTAATAGAACCTTAGGTAAAGCGGCAGATACTTCTGGTTATAGAACCATAGTTTAATTGAGTTTCTACCTCTTCTACAACTAATTTTAATGACGTGATATATGACACACATCCGGTTATATATTATACTGTAATCTTAGAGGTTGAGCAGCAATAGAAGGTCAGACACAGTCCATGAATAATTAAACACGCTGAAAAAAATGGTTTCAAATGCTGTATTGCTCGTATCTGTGATATCAATACCCATTCCTTTACCTGGATTTATAGTTAGACAGAGAAGAACACAGGTAGGAATAGATCCCTTTAAGCATTGCCTTTCTCTAACACCATTCCGTTCAATATTGACACTCTCCGCCGATATCACAAGAGCACTTGAGATGCTGTGCTTTCGTTCAAATCAACGTCCAGAACAGTGTATTGACTTCAAGTAGCAGGAGTGAAATATACTATGTACACAAAAAAATAGGATTCTTGTCAAGTTACCTGAACTTTCAGAGGGTACTGTATGGATATTCAAGTTTTAAATTGTAATTATGAAAACTGAATTGAGACGTTGACTCGTCTGTGTAAAGACGTCACTCTGTCGTTTGATTCACGATTAAAATGGCATTCTTAGAGATGGATTTAATACCATTGACTGGGATTGTATGGTATGTATGTATCAAATGTATCAGTATCATTAGCATTTTTATCATATAAGGAAGAGATGGGGATTTCTTAAAATGGTTGTGATTTTTAAAAGTGCGAAGTTGCCATTATTGGGAGTAGGGTGGATTTATGACTAAAGGGTTATATGTCAGAAACATTGTAAAAATGAATGGTTTAAGTATTAGGATCAAGTTCGATATGCTTATCAGAAAAAAAACTATTTTGTGAAGATATGATAAATTTTTGTACAAGCGCGATTGAGATTTTACCATGTGTACATTTCTGTACATGGAATAAAATATACTGTCTGTTAAGGTCATAGGAGTGTATTGATAAACGGAAATAGGAAGTGCATCCCTAGTTGAAAATCCAATGTAGGGAGACAATATCACAATTTCCGCATATTCTGATGTTTAATATTAAACTGATAAATATTGCATGTTTATTATTGACAGAACAGTGTGTTTTCTCAATATTAAAGTATTTTAAAGCAATCCAGGCATTAATTCAGGTTTTTTTTATCAATGAGTCACATGTGTCCATTTTTCTGTACTTCAGGAACCCGGCTACCTATTTCACTACTGTGAAGTTTTTCAAGAACGATAACTCTTTACATGCAATTACTATATGTACATGGTTTTATTATAAAATGTCAATTTTTAAACGTTTATAGATAATTAATTTTACACAATTTCAGCATTTATTAAATTGATATACATTAATGCAATACTAATCTATGTCAGTATCATTTTTATTGACATTATTTTGCCTAAAATTGTGTCTTTCATATTTTTTTCAAAACTCACTCCTTTTTACATAAATTTTCATTTCAAATCCTTTAAATTCTGACAACCTATATTTTTTTTGTGGCAGAAAATTTTCTTTACTTCAACGCAATATAACTACAAAATTGGAAGAAATTCTACTGAGAAATGGTGANATCAATGAGTCACATGTGTCCATTTTTCTGTACTTCAGGAACCCGGCTACCTATTTCACTACTGTGAAGTTTTTCAAGAACGATAACTCTTTACATGCAATTACTATATGTACATGGTTTTATTATAAAATGTCAATTTTTAAACGTTTATAGATAATTAGTTTTACACAATTTCAGCATTTATTAAATTGATATACATTAATGCAACACTAATCTATGTCAGTATCATTTTTATTGACATTATTTTGCCTAAAATTGTGTCTTTCATATTTTTTTCAAAACTCACTCCTTTTTACATAAATTTTCATTTCAAATTCTTTAATTTCTGACAACCTGTATTTTTTTTGTGGCAGAAAATTTTCTTAACTTCAACGCAATATAACAACAAAATTGGAAGAAATTCTACTGAGAAATGGTGACACAATCCTATTACCTTTTTAAGGCATCTGTCTTTAAGGATAGAAGATCACCTATTACAATCATCAATATCAATAACATGCTATGACATACCGGATACTTATCACTGGAAAAGTCTTTTATATATGATTTTACGTAAAATTTCAGTGCAGTAAAGCCCCTCGTTTGCCGCCAACATATATCAATATCCCCTTTTCTCGTCTTATTAGGAATTTAGGAATTTATCGCCAAACGTCTTTATAACGCCAAACTGTCTATGGAAAATGTTGGCAGTATCGATGATATGTAATATTGTCAGGTTATTGTTATAATGACATTCATAACTTGTTATAAATTGTGTATCAATAAGAAGAAGAATTTCTAGATTTACCTAAACAACATACTCAAACATACCTAACAGAACAGCCACCCAGATATGATTTTACCTAGGAATATCGTGGGTTTAATCCCCTCGGTGTCGACGATATCTTACATTGTCATGTAAATACCTTGTCATTTATTGGATGTTCTTTATCACCAGTCTATTGTAATGTATCTGCACGTGTCGTTTCTTCCTTATCCCCAAAGACACTGCAAGGACTGTGGTTGCTCCTTAATTGATGATTGTCGTCTGATGGGTATGCATGATCACGCGTACCTATTGTATATCATCCGACGAGAATGGTAGGGACACAATAATTCTGATCTATAGAAGGTTGCTAATGTGCTAATAACGATCTTCTGTCAGTATTGAAATGGCTACCACAGACATAATAACGCAGTGCCCACCGATACATTATCAATCTGTATAATCAAATCATACCCTTTAAAAAGTATATAGGTAATGGTTAAATGTAATTCTTGCACTGCAGATGTATAACACTTGTCCAATTTTCTCGTGTACACCTACTCACACTGCACGCGTTAACTTTAGTAGTAACTAAAGGGCCTTCATATCTTGGTTAGTTGTAAGATTGGAGTGTCACGAGAGAAATGTCGGTATTACGTATGTATATCATTTTATTTACGATCAGTTGTAGTGGATAACTGCATGATCAATATTAACGATTACTCGTTCACTACCCATCACACTTGGATTCTCCGGATCATCTGTTTCCTTTAATATTACAAAGGACAGTGCTTTTATTCATAACAAACAATTATATTATCTTCTAAGTGCTTTTTTATTATATATTTCCAGCAGTAATGATAACCGCTGACATGGATAGGCCATCGCCACCGGAAGTAAACTGGAACAAGATGCTGTAAAAAAGGAAACTTTTCCCCGAGCGAGTCCAAAACTATAGGATTCAAGATGGCGGCCATCGTAAACCAGGTGATCGGCATTATCACGAAGCCGACCTATAAGCGGAAAGAGGTGGAAATAGAAGCCATCTTGCCATGGCTGCGAAAACGCAGTCTGTTGCTACAAAACCTGGACAGAGGTTTGTATTTGCGGTTTTCATTTAGTTGAAACATATTATTACCGTTGTCACTGTAATGAAGTAATTAGTAATCATCTCCAACAGAAATAGTCCATAAAAACCACATCTTGCGATACATTTTATAGAAATAAGGTTGTATATTTTAATATTTAAATAAATAAATAAATTACACAAGAACGACCAGGGCCGAGCCTGGGACCTATCCACTGCCAGTCCTTCACTTGACCAATGTTGTTATCTAGGAATTGTAACGGCACAGCAGCAAAATGAGAGATGGATACATTTACAAAGGAAGTAACTCTGAACAAGAAAACCACGTTTTTCTGCTTCAGTGAATCATTTCTTTTTCGAAGGGAGAGTTTTCAAAGTTGAAAATCAGATCGGAAGCGACCTCTTCTTAATGATTATTATTGGTGCAATGGTACACTCTGCCTTTATCAGAATATGATTTTAATTATCTTGAGGCAACTCCAAAGATATCAACTGGACAGGGATGCCATCTGCTTTGCATTCGGCATATTTATATTTCTTAAGTCAAAGTGTAGTAACAAACAGTGTGTATACAAGTCTATTGCGGGGTTCTCACCAAAATAACACCCTACTAGTAGCCTAACGTTCAATGTAGAGCATAATTAAGTCCGGTAGTCCATTAATCACCGTCCCAGACAGGGGAGATGTGATGAGATAGCTATACATTGTGTTTCTACTCTGTACTGAGGCAGATACAATTCTGTAATTCGTGATAACTGGCGTAGTTATAGACTGTTAAATAAATCTACGACTGATTACTGTTAGTAGATGTCCGATGATATACGACAGTCACAGTTATCGTATGTACCGTAATTAACAACCCCGTATCTACTGTTAGCTTATGGATGAAACATTATCGAGAAATACAGATTCACGTTACTTACACCTATGACTGTTCTGTTGAAATACATGTACATTGTACATACAATTCACGTAGCTAAATTTACTTCAAACATTTTCAGTAAGCAAATCCTCTCCTACTCAAGTTCAAGTTCTTTATTCACCAAAAGTCTTAAGACTTATAGGTACAAACTAATCATGATACATTGTACATGTATATATGTTATAGGAGAGTGACTATAAGCATACAAGTGCAAACTAAACAAAGAACATAATACAAAAGCACAAAAATTATAAATACGTGTAGCTAATTAATCAATTTCGCCGCTTAGTGGCTAGATATAAATATTTACCTAGATTTGACAACTCTTTGACATTATTTACAGATAAAAGTTGGACAAGTTTGTAAACAGAGGGACTCTTATAATAATACTTCTTTATATACTTTAACCTCAAATCATTATAAAAAGGACATACAAAAATGAAATGAAATTCGTCCTCGACGTCTCCCAAATCACATTTGCTACAGTTTCTATTTCTGCGAATGATATTATTGTGTCTACCCTTTTCGATATTAAGTTGATGAGACGACGTTCTAAATTTAGTTAACATATATTTGTATTTTGTTTCAATACATTGCTGCCTAAGGACTCCCAAACGGCCGGATTTCTTTTAGGATAACGGTTAAATATAATAACGAATACGGTACATTATAAATTAACCACAATGTGACTCCATTGTGTGCTGCATATAATATACGTGTCTTATACATACATGTTTTGTGTGATTGTAAGGAGGTCACACCATGTATATAAACGAGGTGCTGCAGAATTCAATCACCCACATTTGATACAGTTCAATAGAATCTATTGAATTTCATTAAATTAAAATTTTCAACGACGTGTCTAAAACTGACACAAGGTGTGGCCTTTAAGGAATTTCTATTAGAAATATACGTTTTCCCACAGGGTACCAGCCAAATGTAACGACGCTCGTCCGTCTTTAACAATAGAGGAATACTGTTTTATATAAATTAAATAAAGTTGGCTCCCGAAATATTTTTGTTGAAAAAAACCCACCAGTCGTTACAAATTTCAACGGCATTTCTAAAACTGACAGAAGGGTTGACCTTTACACAATGTCTATATGAAATATATTCATTCCCACAGCACTACCCAGTGTTAGGCCATTCGTTTGTTAGGAACAATAGAGTAATATTGTTCGATATTAATACAAATATTTATCAATTCAATACAAACTGGCTCCCGAAATCCCATGATATTGAAAGAAAACAGAAGAAGGGTAAAAGCTGATACCCTGTTATGAAGTAACGGGACTCTGTTATCGGACTTAACTGTTACGTAATTACATTTATTTCTGGCAGTTAGTCAATCTTCAGTCAATTAACACAAAGAAAATTCTATCGTAGGAGTGAATGACAATCGATATCAAACAATTTAAATGCCACCAAATATATATTTCATTAGAGGATATCATTGATGATTTCATATGGATGAAATTCATTATGCAGTCGTATTTCAATTCTCGTAAATAACCTTTATGAATAGACACAATAGCAGTACAATTCCAATAAACAACCCCGCTTTGGAGATCGCGGCCATTCAAACGAAACATACATCAACTTTAATAGAAATACATTAAATTAAAAGACGGGGAAATGTTGTAATTCAGCGGATACATTGATATACCCAATGGCTACATACGTACAGGGTCTCGCAGAGACACACATATGTTATATGTATCGTCATGAGTAAATCCAATCGGGAACCGTCGGCACTTTCCGTAAACGCGAATATACTTTTAAATATTTTCTCGTTTACGGAAAGTGCCGACGGTTCCCGATTGGAGTAAATCAGTACTGTAAATTACATTTATTTCTGTGACATTATTTTTAAAACTTGTAAAAGAAATCAATCATAAACTCATTATTCCTATAAACAATCAGTTATTCGTAATAAAAATCACACAATTATTGAGTAAATTTCACGGCGAACAGGTACGTAAACATTTGTTCGCGAGAATAAGTGTGTACGAAAAATGAAAAGAAGCAGTATTGCCAGTTTATTACATCGAAATTGTTTAAGTCTAAAAGCATGCCAGAAAACACGTTGACGATATAAATATAAAGCTGTAAAGATATCCCGCGACTGATTTCAATATGAGAGATCAGCTTTATAGACCATAATAGGTACTACACAATTTGCACTATGATGAAATACAAGGATCCCTGTTTAATTTACTAGTGCTTTGTATATCTGCCAGACTATTTATATTGATAGTGAAAAATTCCGGGAAAAGGCATGCATAAAACCAACCAGGATGAATGAAATACAATGGAGTGATAAAATTAAGTAGAAGTTCAGAAATACCTATCTTTAATCATATATACTAAAATGAAACCTCAAAATATCAGATAAACGATCGTGTCAATGAAAGGGAGATAACCCGTTAATGTGACCATACAAAAAAGGCTAAACTATCGTATTTCCCATTCAAACTCACTACACAACTACAGTTGTAGGACTTGACGACATCCTCTCATTGATCAGTGGTTTATACGGGTGCATACAGTTAACTCTTTAGAAGAATTTTTCATTGCGATCAAAGTCAGCGCCACAGTGGGGAAAAATAACAATGACATGGTGTAAAATGTATCATACCATTAAGATCATTGTACATGTACAACGTTTATCTAAACAGCAATATGCGACATCAGTACATAAACCAAATGACCGAGTCTCCCATTGGTGGCAAGTAAAGACACAACCGCGAGTAATCCTTTGAAAATCGCTGACTGGTTAAAAGATAAAAAAAATCTCCAATTAGACTCAGTGACTTTTGTATAAAAATATGAGCGAGCTATTTAAAGGCGGTATTTAAGAATGATCAGGTTCATTCATCGTTTATTCATAGCGAGTTTAATTAAACCAAGGTGTCAAAGTTAATCAATCCCGTAAACAAATGAAAACAAAGCCGTTTTTGTCATAATCGTAACATTATACGAGCTAATAAAAAAGTTTGTGGATTTGATATGCAGTAAGATAACTCTCTGATATATTGGAATGTCGATTTCATACTTTATCGGAGACGGAAGCACATGCTGGTATAGTACCTATAGGTCTATATAGCATGGGATAAGTGTCCAGACAGGAAGAAATAATTTAGGTAAACATAGGTTATCTCCCTTAGAAAACTCTCTGCATACTTCAGTGATACAGTTAATTGAAACTGTATGTTCTGGACCATAGCAATATCATTTTCCCCCTTCGGCGCTGACACATGTTGTATTGAGAATTTCTTTCAATAAATGAACTTGATGCACCCATTTAAATATTGGCAAATGAGATGATGTCATCCTAGTTATCTAGTCCTAACGGTCAGTGAGGACGAAGTGGAATTTCGATATTCAGATTTCATTGTATAATATAAGTATAATCACATGAACTGATTAACTCCCTTTAACTGATTCAACTGTTGTGCTGATACTTACACACGCTTTGTAGAAGTTGTTTTTATCACTCTACTGTATCATTTATATATTGTATTATTTTCTCATCAAATTTTCACTTAGCGTAGTATTTCATGTTTGTATTTTATTTCTTCGTATATTTTTAAAAATGATGCCAGGAACAAAATAAACTATTCAACCATTATGACGTGGAATTATGTCACAAATACTTTATCAACCAATATACCAGAGTGATAATAACGACGTATCTCAAAGGTTATCTAGGTAATTAATACATTCCCAGGTTTTACCTCCATAAAAACTCCCTCATTCAAATACCATTTGGGTTACGTCGGTAGGATTCATACGTACATTTTAGAAATACGAAGAAAATACTTGATGTATATATTTTCTCCTCCTTCAGGAACTGTCGCTTTAAAGTTCTTAAATGTAAAACGGTTATTTATTGGTCATGGCAAAGCGGTATACGTTGGCGAAGGGAGATAACTGTGACCAGATATTATTAGCCACTTCAACGTTAAATAATGTTCACAAAACACTTGCAATGCACCAAGGAAACGTTGTTAATGAAACTAACATTTATGGAATAATGGATGATATTGAAAGTGATGGCATGGATTTATAAAAAATGAAGTTTATTAAGATTCTCCTTTTAAATCTTTACAATGATACTCACATATATATCTCCTTCTGTATCACCCCTAAACACCTGTTTATTGGATTACATATCGACGTTTACCTTAATTGCACAACCGTTAACTTTCCTCGCTCTAGTGGTAGCATAACATCTTTCTCTGCTTCGGAGTGTACATGCTTCACTACGTTGTGTTTAAATATCAACGGAGACCTCCCGAACGTACTATTTTCCTTGTTTAACACTTACACTCACAACACTAAGTTTACCGCGGACAGCCAATTTATCCACCTATGATTGCCCCTGAAGTAAACCATAATTCATACCCAATTAATTTAATGCATCGACCAGAGGTTAACACAAGCTGCCTCCGACGCTGAAAATCGACCCTGGGCTTAATTACAGCACATAGGTTTACCCAAGACTCAGAGTTGAAATAGCCTCCCGATTGCCTGTTTACAGCATATTATGCCATCATCTTTTTATATATATACTAACACGCTTGCACATGAGTCACTCTGCTATGTTTTTTGCAATCAATAACACAAAGACTAATATAAGTCGAAAATGAGCATTTATTGAAATGCCTTAATATGGTGTACTTTCATTGTACATCCACCAAAAGTGATATCGGCAATATGTAAAGTTATACATGACATTGGCAAAAAAGATGGGGACATCTAGACATAAACACGCCATTATTTAATAACAAAGTCAAATACAATTCTAAATGAAAATGAAAATTGCCATTGATCCGTATTTTGATCAGTGCGCTTCATTAGTACTCTGCTTGTACCATAGTGTTTTTTTTCTTTTTTTCTGTTGTCATCATAGCCTTATATCTAACAATACTAGTTATTATAGCCTTATATCTAACAACATTAGTTAGTATAGCCTTATATCTAACAATATTAGTTACTATAATATATATAAGACGTTTGCTGGCAACATTTGACGTAGGCTATAGTGTTGTTCCTCCTGGTCATCCGTTCATGGGCTTCTGGTTTTGAGGCGTTATTTCCTTTCGATTTGATGTACCTGTTGTTATTTTCCCGTTAGATACGATAATCGTATTGACACCATCTTTTGATCCAATGACATTTAACTCGATATTGTGATTTAATCCTTTTTTATTTAATCCTTTTAATTTACCTGTCACTGTTAGTCACCTAAATGAAGTCAGTACTTGCATTATTGTATGTGGTTTTGCGGTTTCCTAAAAGCTGGTATCGTATGGCGACCTACGTCATCAATAACACCCCTCCTTTTACTTTACACGATGAACAAACACTATACTATATGTACCTACCGACATTTCTCTCAGTAAACAGATACGAATACATTTCATATTAACACGTAACTGCTGATGAGCGTTTTTCAAGGTAAATTAAAAATTATTGAATTTCTTTTATATAAATATATTTTAATGTGTCTTTAATTGTTAATGGTGGTAAGGATAGTTTCGATCTCCTCGCTTTGTTCTTTCTGAAAGGGCAATGCTTATGTTTGCAGATACTGTTTGAATATGCAAATAGTCATTATTCGTTGGCAAGGAATCAATGATGGTTTTCCTCTTGTTTCATTTTATTGGAACCAGAAGCCATTGTGTAGTTGAGTCGACTACCTGAAGACAAATCATTACTGTAATATAGCGGTTATATATTGGCAATAAGGTTCTAGTTTTAAAAAATGATAGCTTCAATGAATAATTAACGGGAGATAACTCGTATCACACCAATACTGAGTTTACGTTAAAGTAAACGTGATCTATACAGTGAAAGCGAATCAATTAAGTATTATGTCAACAGGATTAAAATACCAGAGAAAGTCAATAAGCCTAAATATTGTGAGACACCCATTATTCGGATTTTAGAGTTGTATCTGACAATGCGTATGTCATTAATCGTTAGTTTAAATGCGGCCACGTTCTTTTGTAGGTGTATTGCAAGACATCATGAAGAACTGTACCTATCAGGCGTGCGAGAGGGACGAGATTATTATCAGACAGGGAGAGAAAGGCGACAGGTGAGTAGTGGTTGGTTTTCCTCGTGAAGCTGTTTATAGACCAAATGTTATAGACATTTTCTAATGTTTGCATTCTTTTAAATGTGAAGAAAGCCAACTCTGTTTGTATGTGCTGTGTTAATGGGGGTGTGAGTAGACTAAACTAAAAGAAAATTCTCATAATCGATATAATTAAACATGCGTTTCATTTACACAGAAATATATACAAAAGGAATAAGATGACTTAATGCTTTATATAATAAGTTAAGTACATTGTTGTGAATATTTCACGTCGGTATGTTTACGGTGTATCGAACATCACAATATTTGAACATCTTCAGATTATTGTTCTGATTTGTGTGATTTTGTGTGTAAATTAGATAATGTTACAGTTGTGTTTTTGTATAACTTGTTGATTGCCTTCGAAATTTTGTGAATCATTTATGAATATATAAATAGCATGATTTCAGATATCCAGTTTAACAATATAAATCATTTGATGTTCAAATACGGTAACGTTTGACAAACCATATACGTAAATCTGGTTGTGCTTTGTTACGCATATTATCGACTACAGTACAGTGCCCCGTATACACATATCTGCACAACTTAAGTGTAATAAATCAATTTGAAAATTAAGTGTACTTGTATCCGTGTAGTAACGGTGATGGTTTGTATATTTCAAGTTAATGAACTATCTTTCTGAATTTTAAGTGCAACAGGTGTGATTCTGCATAATCGTTAAGTTAGCTTGTAAAAACCACATTATTCACACGAAACCTCTCTATCAATACAATCATGTCAGTGTTAAACTATACACCGATAAGTTAAAATCTGCATAGAATAGTCTGTCAAATGTAGACATTTAAACAAAGTTATACAGTTCCATACCTACACATAGCAAAGACTACATGAGTGAATTCGGTAGTGGCGAGTCAGGTTATACGGCTTATTGTGTAAACAAAACTGACAATCTAATCACATTCCGAAATGTTTAATTAGTGCGATGAAGGGAATACAATAAACTTTCGGTGATATAAAAACAAAGGAATATTGCTGTTATAAAGGTTTAAAAAACAAAACAAAAACACGCTGACGTATATGTACGGAAGTTCATCAGCTTGAAAGTACATTTGTTTTAAAATTGTTTATAAAATTGTAGGGATTTGATAATTTCATCTTTGAATATCAAAGAGTGGTCTAAGAGGAAGTGTACGTCTTTGTGCTATACTGATAAGCTTAAATATCTGTTTTAGAGTTTTGTGTATAGTCTACTACCACAGCGAAGCATTAAACTGGCGACATGTTTAGGTGTTCAAGTATTTGTAATGTGTTTTTGAAACGAAATATATTCTACTTCTTAACTTAACGACCTGTCATTAGTCAGGATCGATCCCCTGTTTCCTTCAGCCTCGCTATCAATTGAGATGGACAGACATATGTCCCGACCAGTAATAGAATGGATTCGCTATAAATATAAATTGATATTGGCACGATTAGAATTATTTAAATTTCTACCTTTTAGGCTTTTAACTGTTGACCTGCTATATAACATGTATTGTAGTACATGTCTGATTTATTACGGATTCCTCTCCTAGTTTAAAACCCATTTTATCACGTTCTCAAGCGAACATGTTTGTATTTAATTGATTTTATAAAACACAGACCTACATCAACGCTTCGGGCAGAGCTACAACGCCCACGTTCTTTTTAAAAGAGCCAACACGTGTACTTTAAATGTTATAGAAACCTGCTATTGAAAAGATAGAGATCTAAACGCTTATTAATAAACAATAAAAAGATCAAAATTACCGATATCTTATATGTGAAACTAGTTGAAAAATTGAATTTATATCTGAGAACAAACCCTGTGCCATTACTTTCAGTGGGGGCTTCCCGATTCTGTTATTTTATTCAGTGACGAGTGATTATAATCAGACACCATGATATTACAACGATTGACCACAGACACGAACACACGTTTTTAAGAATTGAATTAAATCCTTTACTATTAAAGTTAACCAAGTTTGTTGGCATTATTGTTGTCATTATTTATCTTCTTACTGAAACAAAATGCGTTAACAAAACAAATACCAAATTCTGCAGCCAATCACGTTACCTCTATTTTTTTTCTATTTTTATTCGAAGCTCATTAGAAAAGAACTTACCTCCAATACTATCGAATAATAACCTGACTTAGTTTTGAAATTCTAGTTACGGCATGGTATCAAAAATCATTCGTAATGAATCTGTAAACCAATTATGTTCGTAATTGATCTAGCACAATCTGTGTCATATCTTTATCTGAACGATTATATTTGAGTAATGCAATACATAATTGCAGTATTTTTCACTTCTGGCAATTATGATTTGTTGCTTGCAAATAACATATTAATCTGACAACAATTGATGCGGTAACTAAGTATTATAATGATAGCTCCATAATAATTTGCATTGAAACGAAGCACAATTGTAGATTATAATGACACTTGTTTCGTACCGTTGTTGAAATATGACATTCCTGAGAAAGACGATATTAGATTTTTATACCGTCAGGCAGCATAACATTTTGGCGCATGTAACATTATAAAATGTTACCCTGGCATACACGAGCCGTCTTTATCATTGTAAAACGAACAGTTGGCATTTAAAACCATAATCGTTCTCGATCAATATGATGAACTTTGTTTATTACAGAGGTTATAATCAAATGTATTACGAAGTGAAGTTATCGTATTAACATAATTTGATGTTTATAAGTTACAAAATGTAAAAGACATTATCGCTTTGTGCTTAGTTTAGCTCTATCTGGCTTAATATTATTTCATTTGGGAAATTTTACACTTTTAGGCTATTCTATTGAAAAAAAAACGTGTACAAAAAATACACATACCTATTACAGTAAAGCAACTGCCTGATGAAAAACTACATGTACTTTGAATTTCATTAAGTATATAAACATCTACACGAGTAAATTAATATTCACAACCCGATAATAACACACTCAATAAGGCGACGATGTATTCACAGTAAAGACGTGTACGCCTACAGGCAAATATATGAGGACATTATTGTAAGGATTTTCTTTGGAAACACATACCACAGGGAGTCAACCATTATGTAGAATTCACTATAGTGCTAAACTACCATGTAAACAATGCATACAGATCTTTGTAGACTGACATGAATAGCCTAACTGACAAAGGTGAGAATTTACATTAGTAGGGATATTTAAAAGATATATATTATGACATGTGTTGTAACTGTATTACCATGCTGGCTCCTCATTTAGTTTATATATGTTAAAGCACATCATGACATTGGACCGTAGAAAGTGATATACTATAATTTAAATCTTCAATATACCGGACGACACATTCCATTACGTAAAACGCTATTTGATGGTAATATTATTTGGGTTGAAAAGACAGGTGTCCGATGTAATCAACAACGATTTCTGTAATCCGTTGGAAATGTAAAGGTGTATAACATTTATTAAAATTTGGATTGGTTGATAATTCCTTTCAACCACTTTTTCCCATTGCATATTGGTAAAACAAATGTTAAAATTTGTCCGAAATTGTAAAAAGGAAATAGTGAACTAATCATTCACATTATTACAAACTTCCAGGGAAAGTGTACTCCTATGCCTTGACTGAATTGTTACTGAAGTACATATAGAGATGCCAGGAGACAGATTACACGTTTGAAAGGTCTATATATATATAAAGCATGGCCCCATAAGTTGACCTGGTCGTGTTGGGATTAATATTTGAGAATTAGCACACTTATATAAACCACAATTGAACTAATACTAAACTAATCAAACAGTAGTCTTAATCACTGCAGATGAAATAATAATGTTAGGAAAACATCATTTTGTGTCGTGATGAGATCAACGCATCACCAGAAATGCAGGTAAACTGTATAGCACTATTAACATTTGTTTCAATTAGTACTGTAAAGTTCATATTGTTGACGTGTTTTATATGTTTGCGTAAGTATGCATTGAGCATTGACCGTAAATTCAAGTTCAACGCAAACACATAACAAGATTTATCGTAAGACAAACATGTTGGGTAAACCAAAATGTATATAAAATAAAAACCCGTAAAGAACACCTTGTAAAATTCAGTGTTCGCTCATTGCAAGTGATATGCAGTGTGTTATTAGTTTTGACTCATGGAGAAGCATCAAGTTGTATAGAAAGTTCATTTCAAATCTCTATGTACAGCACATGGCGTTTGGTTCATAGACGACATTTGTGCGCATCAATAGGTAGATATAGTGGTTTACGACGTCAGTTTTGTTGTCGAGACATTCAAAGTGGAAATACAGTTGTACAGGGCATCGATGTTCTGCGAAAGGAATATATATCCTGTTTTATACAATGTCGACAACACTAAACACACGCGTGTAAAGTAACTTCTACTTTATTACCTAGTTGCGATGTCGAGGAAGATTGGTATGTATATATTACTGTCTGTGTGAAGCGAAAGTAATGCTTTGAGATTTTGTTACGCTTAATTAGTTGGGTGTCGCTATGTACATGTACATACTCTAACACTTTGAATAGATTGCATTCAACATGAGAAGCTAATACGAATTTTCTTTCAGGTGGGGTGAATAATGAATGTAGCATTCTACACTGAATTCAATAACACAACGCTGACTTACCTGGCTGCTAACCTGTTTAAGCTTCCAATCAAGTGCTCTAATGAATCTGAATCAGAAAAGTGACAATAGCTATCATGTTTGTGTTCAGACACGATGGAATTGAATTTTTTATGTTCTCGAGGTGTGTTCATTCTTTTGGTTGTAGTTAGCAAGGTTGATTTGGGACAATGGTATAAGTTATGCTTATTTCCACAATGTAAATTTTCATGAACTATTTTTGAGGTTTTTTTTATGTTTCATTAAAATTACTTGACAATGTATCTTACTGGAGGATTATAACAACCCATGGATATTCCTTATTTTCCCCATTTTTACTTACCATTTTTGAAAATAGGTGAACACTTCTTTCAAAATGGCTAACATTTTTCTTTTGTATTGTAATAAACTTACATGGCATCTCATTATGACAAATTACGTTTAAATTCTATTTTGTCCTAGTTTGTTACAGTCCGATAAGGAATATTTAATTTTGAAATTCTACTCCACGTAGATGTGAACATATTCCCGAATGTTTAAGTATTGAGGCTTTAGCATTGTTTGCTTAAACAAGGCAATAATACACAACACATAGATATATTTTTATTTGAGCAATATTTTCATACTACTATTATGTATTTTCATGATGATGTGAAACTATTTGATTGTGTATGATATATGTGGGTTTTTGCTGTAACAGTGTGTATATAGCATATACGAACTACATGTATACGATTTGTGATTTGTTTTTCTTTTTGCTTAATATTCCTTTTTCAGAAAAATTTACTGAAGATATATAATTTGCTTTCATTCTGAGTATTTTTATTAACATTTTTTATAAATATACCAAGTTATATTTTACGAACAGCTTATTTAATATGTATTGAATTTTCAATGTACAAGTGTTTGTTCTATGCGTTTTCATGAAATAACCTGTGTTAAAATGTAATATTTGAGCAGCAGATGAAAACAACCCACAAACGTGAATGATGACAGAAACAAGTATTCCTTTGTTTATGAATCTTTCGTAAAAATTGAATTGTAAATATTATACGTAAAATGTCAACAAGCATAGGTAAAAATACAGTTTATGATAAAACACGTATTTGACCTGTTTTACCGGAGTATGTATACTGAAATACTGAAGACGGGACATACAATGTCCTCTTCTAGTTTAAAAGATTTGCGTTTGACTTTTAAAAGTTAGAGACACGAATTAAATGTGTCAGGAATGACGTATTCCAGTAAGTCATGCGGTTGAATTTGACCTAGTCGATTACGCTTTACTTATGAAAAGCTAATTCCTATGCAGGTAAAAACGACAAAACTAATTATGTACCCGTGTTTTTCGTTTAGGAGAAAACATACAATTGCACCTATTCAAAAGGAAGTCTCGAAATGACATTTGTGTTTTTTTTTGCTTGTTTTGTTAGCTTGTTGACAACGTTACGGTAATATGGCAGTGGTCTTAAATGTACATTCAACTTGACGAGCTATAACATTGTCTGTACACGGGTTGGTAAATATATAATAAATATCCCGATTTGTAATATATCTATTAAATATACCTGCTTTCAAAATTGATACATTTATAACGTACATGTCGTTTATTCTTTTTTAAGTTTTTTTTCCCCGATACATAAATAAAAAAAACGTGATTGATCAAAATCTTCAAAGCTGTTAAGCGGTGTACGAATCTCATCACGACTTTGTAAAAGATCGTAAAAGATAAAAAGCTTATAAAAATCAGCCTTCCTTTTAAGTTGTTTTACAAGAACTTGACATAATGCGAGACTGTGATTAACTTTAAAACTTTGAACAGAGAATCCGTATGCTTATCTACGTTTAAAAAGATCACATGCGTGTTATTAACACTCTATTCGTTTGATGTCGAAAACACATTTTATTGGCCTTCCACCACATTAAGTCATTGTTAATCTTGCTAAATCTGGTCATGTGTAAACATTTCATTTTCTATATATAAGTATCGTTCATTAATATTTTAACATGCTTTGTTGAATATAGTCATCTGTATAGTATTCTATAAAGAAAGAAAAGAAATTGAAATTATGTAATGAAACAATCTGGACCCCGGGATTCGAATCCGCGCCTACCAGCGTGACGGTTGTTAAATGTTATCAAACACTCACTCACATGTATTTGGTAATTTACATAATTTCTAACCAACTTATTCAAATATCGACCTTCGATTAAATTTGTCAGAAGAAACATTTCGCTTTAGATATTGTATCTGTGCCTGTAATCAAGTTTAAAGACTATGTACTATTACAAACACTGATTGATGACAAGTATCAAAATAGGTTAAAACCGCGAATATAGTGTTATACCGTAGCTGTATAAGTTTGACTGGGGACTATATGAAGAGCATGTCACATTCTTACCTCTAAACACCTTAAGCCAATGAAAGAACACACTGGTATCATTATAGAGATATCGTGTTACTTTTCCACCCGTGCACACATCAACGAGTGGTATTGACATAGATGATTGCCCTTCAGTGACAACAACTGGTATTTTTTTCTATTGGTTTGTACAGTGTAGATTTGTAAGATATGAGTCGAGTTATTATCACTGATCCCGTTGTAAGGGAGATCGGGTGCCAGGTAAATTGTGAAGGTTAATGATAGGAAAGAGTATAGACTCAAGTGTAGGTAAACTTTTAAGTTTATGTGTTGTTGCCGTCGTTGACGGTACGCTGTGTACATGTGGAACTACTGTATGTATTACCTTAATTACAAAGTCACCTGACGTGGGAATCAGGTATGTATCTTGCCGATGGATATTTATATTAGCAAAAACACGTCTGTGTTGTTAGATTTTAATACCATCAAATGTTAAGTATTTTGTATACAAGATAGGGACATTTAATTTTATGTTAAACACCTAACGATATTTTTTTTCACAAGCGACGACACGTATTTCATCTGATATTCAGGTTGGCCCTTTTTTAAGTTTGTGTATTATCGAGGCAACACCGATGATTTGACCACCAGTAGCATATAACATCATTAATGTGTCCTTGTGGATTTGATGTGCATGTGGATTTGAGTGTTTTAATGTCTGTTAAAGTATGTTTGAAAGGATATCAAAAACATCACGAACGCTGGTCGTGGAGATGACGCTGATAAATGGAATACAAAGATAGGGATATTGGAATGCAACATATGAAATAGTACGGTTAACAGTTTGATTGCTGAACTAGTGTCAAACGTCGTGCAGCAAATATTTACCTGTAGATTAAAGGTGTGTTTAACCCTCCATGTGATCGGTATGTATAGGAATACGAAAGCGTTTTAAAAGCATTAAACTAAAACATCATATTCAAGGTATACATGTCCTCCTCAGGTTTCGACCTACACCAATGGATAAAGTGAATCTTATCTGATAAAAAAAGCGTGCACCACACAACAAATCTCAGGACGTAGAATTGAGAAATACATTTAAATGTAAATCATATGTGAAATATTATTGTCTGAATTACTCGTATAGGGAATCAACAGCGGATGTCGAACCGAGGTATGTATGAGAAGTGTTTGGTGATTGTTTTAATTGGTTTTCATGCAGCATTGCACAATGTTTGTATTTTGATGGTACATAATGGTATAAAAATGTTTTTTGTTTTGTTTTTAAATTGAATCCCAAAGGCTGTATTTTTTTACTCACACAGAATTGCTTCGGATGTTTTCACTGGTTTAATGGACACATGTGTTTGCTTGTGCAGTGTTTGTTCATATTAAGTGTGTATTTCGTCAGATGTTTAACTGTTGATTTTATATTTCTAAATTGTTCTTTATTTTGGTCATCATGCGACGTTATCAAACACCTTTCAAATCAAATTTTAAATATTGATATACAGATTTAGGACAAATCATTTTAGTTATGACATATTTTGTCGTATGACATATTTTGAGAACATAAGAAATTAATACGTACTTGGTATACTAAAACATTTACGATATTTTATACCGCACGTACATGCTATAGGCGTCTCATATCATACCTAATCTTTGCAAATATTGGAACAAATGCCGTATCTACAAAACAAAATAATGTTGCTAGAGATATGTATGAGCGATGTGATATGTTACGTTTGATCTACTGAGGTTAATCAATGGTTTACACATATAGTGGGTCAGTGTTTTCTAAGCAGTAGGGTAAAACACTGTGGAATGTTTAATACCAGCTGATATTGTTATCAGTGTCTGGTGAAGTGCTGGCTATAGCACGCTTACATGAAAGGTCACTTCCGATCATACTTAATCCCTGTTGATCCCTGTGCTAATACAGAATAGTACCGGATAATCAATAATCTGCTACTACACCAGACCCTACCATCTTATCATCCCAATCCCTAACATAACATTACCCTCTATGAACTGATAGATGGAGACGTACCCACTGCGATATGCCTCCTCGTTTCTACACCTCATGTCGCGCTTGCATAATGCTTATCATAAACCCCAGATAAAAACGGACAGAGCTTCGGTAATCTTATATTCTATTTAAAAATCATACACTGTACTGATACTAGTATACTGGATATGAATAAGTTAAATGTTTATGTATAACAATAATCCTCCAGTTTAAGGAATATTTGCGCTGTCGCAACGGAAAAGGTTTATTGTTTATTTCAAGATTTCCATATCTATATTTGAAGGACAAATTTATTTTACAGTGGTCCGTTGAAGTATACAACTTTTTTTTCTGAAGATACATATTTAAGAAATTCAAAGCTATATATTATAACAGATAAATCAATAATTAATAATGTTAGTTAAATAATTCCCCTTTATCATACTCTGTAAATGAAATGATAAAAAAATCACATCTCTATCTAAAAGATTAAATATGCAATGTAAAAATAAATACACTATCACATAGAGCAAACATACATTACCAACTATCCGATCTCACAGTTTGTTAGTTAAAACACGAACCCAATCTGTTGAAATACACTTTCCACTAAAACGAAGTTTGTTTAGCCTGTTATGTTTACAGGCTTTAGCTTTTAAAATTCTTTCTTAAAATGAAAAAAAATAAAAAAAATAAAAATATAAACGAATTCGAAAATTACGTCCTGGAGATAAACGAATATTTAGTTGTCGCGTATATTGGCCCCAACGTCAGTTTACAAAACTGTGTCCCGATGGTCAGTAAACGGACAATACTGAACTTTTCTCAGTTTGTTTTTGTATTCATCGATCACCTGTCCCCACCTTTTAGCTGATCTAATTCCAAACCTGTCATATAATATTCCTCCTGATTGTTTTAGAGTAAACATGCATGCTTGCTGATGATGATATTGATAAAGTAATAATAATAGACTGCATTGTATTTTATATACCGAATAATATTTGCGCGTCCTGTTACTGCTGGATCAAATCAAATGATCACGTAGATGGCTCGTGAATCAGCGAAAATATCATCCCCACGTATATAGTGAGACTTATATCGTTTAGTAGTGTATTCATTCACTTAAATAGATATCTAGATATAGGATCACTGCTATATGAATTCCCCAATATACCAGGTATGCCAGGTAGTATTAAAACATCAAATAGGATATTCTGGTATTGTAGTTAACGCATACACTTTTTTTATTTAGCCATATACATCATTGACGTCACTCGACTAGACTTGTCTTAAATCTTATCACATCAATATGACAAACCCAAGCTATTTACATATCTCCTATAGGCGACATGACAATTTGAAATAAATCACATAAATAAAATGTTGTCAGCCCTTCTAAGGCTATGTCAAATAAACAGGATATTGAATACCTAAGCGTTTATAACACACCTTATTCTATAAATACATCATACCCCTTTAACAGTTTTAGACATATGCACTGAGAAAACGTTGTTCAGCTTCGGATTATGATACCAATAACGTACAAAGAATGATTGTTTTTCATTACTTCGTAGGTATTCTCAACCTCCTAAACTACAGAGGGCAGATGTCCCGACACAGAAATATAACCAGACGTATGCACTAGATAACAGTAAATAACACAGACCGTGTTAGACCTTCGTTTCTGAATAGGGATACCACATGTGAACAACTATCTGTCAAAACTTATCTAAGCAAAAGGTGTATTTCAGCTTAATAGCTATCGAAGTACATAATGTGCTGTTATTGAAGGTCTAACGCATTTATTAGACAATTTGTTTTGAATAAAATAGGTCGATGTGCCGGATTTATTTTGCGTTAATGAGTTTTATTCAAACGGACAGAAAGACACGTATGCTATTTATCTTACAAATTTGTAGATATGCGGGGGCAAAGTAGTAAATGGTGTGATTGAAGACGCGACCTATTCATACTTAGGATTCCAATTGACATGTTTACTGTAATATGTCTCAATATCCGTATTTTGAATAAGCATTGATCGATCGTGATATGTTATTTTGTATAAAAAGCCAATTCAAGGGTTGTCAAAACAATTCTTACATTACGATATGTATATGATCTGTTAAGCAAAAGGTTGATACCCATCAAAGTAAGTATTTGTTCTGATGTATGCATATCTTATTGCCTATAATGTTTAAAACTTTACTTTCGATAATTCTCTTGATGTGAAAATTTGATTGTTCCGCTTCCGATAAAAGTTCCCTAAAGTGACTACATTGTTCCAATATCGCGGTATTCAAGTTCATATATATCTGTTCCAAAACAATTGAAATTATTTCATAATGAAACTTGTCCAATTTTATATAAATGAGCGGTATTTATATATGTTAAGGTAAATTTCATTGACGAATTTTCTTTTAATGTTCATTACAATTTAACTACCAACGTCTTCTTAGTTGGTACGTATCACACGAATGATTATATTATGGGTTGATAGCCCTTCTCTTGTTGTTGGCATAATGTAAATTTGCATTCATTGGCAAAGAAGAGTCAATCCCAAAGTACACGAATATCCTACTAATATGATGTACATATCTAAACTATGGATTTGTCACTATTTTACCATGCAGGTAGGACCTTGAAAAAGGTCACCTGCAACACAGGTACAAAATAATTTGTGATACTTAAGTGATTAACATTATGCATTTAAATGGAGTCAAACATTTTTTATGTATTTTAATTGGTATTTTGACACATTGGACATTATTTCATTCAGTACTTTGTAATACAGAAGCAAACTCTATTTACCTTTTACAGTACACAAATTTCCTCACTTTATAACAGAATCGTTTTAATCATTAACCAAATCATGTTTACAATTGAAATGTTTTCAATGTAACATTGGATAACAAAATCACTCAGGATTAATTTTATAAAATTTTAAATGTTCCATACATTTATATCTAAGTTATTGTATTATGTGTATGTTGCTTTCAGGAAAAGAGTTGGTGTTCACGTGTATTAAGTATCTATACATTTACAGTTCATATTGGACTTTTAGAGTATTCCTATCGGCGTTGTAGTTGTACGTTTGTAGTTTGCCAGTGAGTCTGAACAAGTGTGTGTCGGCCTACAGTATAATCTATATTTCCCTACAATTGCTATATGGTCCTAAGTGAGTAAGTATCACTTCATATACCCATGTATTATCCGTGGGGTCTTGAGACGGTGTGCATGTTACAGTTCCTATGTGATCATGTGAGACTTTGTTTATTGCATTTTTTGTATAAATCCTGAGTGCTTTTAATGCAAAAAGAGGCATAGCGACAGTAACATCAGCGTCTGCAGTCAGTATGGTTTATCTGTAAACAGGAAAGTGTGAGTACCGGTATATAACAATATCATCTTAACCTTTCGCAGTTTCTATGTGATCCTGAGCGGAAGTACCTCCGTTTACATTGACCCAAGGATGACGGGGGAGGAGGAAGGTGGGACGATAGCTACGGAGAAGACTACCCCTCCAAAGGTAGCAGAAAAACCCAAATCGGAAGATGGAGAAGGGGGAGAGGAACAGGAGGAGGTAAAAGAAGAGGGAGATGAAGAAGAGGAAGAAAGAAAACGCCTGGAACAGCAAGAACAAGAAAGGAAACTCATGAAACTAGACAGGAATAAATTTGGCAAATTCATCATGACGTATGGTAAAGCAATACATACGTTTTACATGGAATAATGAAGATGTGACAGCATGTAATTGTTGATATTCGAAAATGGTTTTACAAATATCTGGCAACTGTTAAGGAATACTTATTGCTTTTAACTATCTGTATTTCATGTTAGTAATTTTCTCGTATTACTCACTATAACTCTGTAATATGATTTTAATATTATCATTATGAAGCCGGGATCTTTGCTAAACAATTTTTCCCTATAAAGTCGCGTGACCTGGGGAGCATATACTCGATGCATCGTTAAGACAAACAATGTATATTTCAGGTGAACTAGAACTGCTGTCAATTAATGGAAATCAATAATTAATTCGGTAATAGATGTAGTAGCAATTCGAATGTATTTCCACACGTTTAAATGTATTTTATTGATTTTGTAAATAGGTCGGTGAATCTTAATGGTACACTGTGATAAATATAAAGTTACCATGTGGTTAACACTACCGAGTCATATCAAATCGAAGATCCATAAAAGACGGAGTTTCGTTGTACAGGTATTGTGGTAAATTGCCGCGACTGTTTAAAGTTCCTATAGAAATGTAGACATACTTCTGTATGCTTTAAATAGATCGCGCGATTGTGCTTAACAATTGATCAAATCACGTATTGATCTGGCATTTTCTTTATTTCGTTTTCTGAAATATGCTAACATAAACTGATGATAGTAAGATAGTTTTAAATAAGGTATATATACTTTTGGCCTTGTTCATTTTTATTCTTACTGAAGCATCATTGTTATTGCAGAACCAGGGAAGGCATTTGGTGAAGTTGCACTTGTCAAACGCGATGCCCTGAGGAACGCGTCTATCATTGCGGACGAAAACTGTGACTTGATGGTGATTGGACAAGATCTGTACGAACGTTCACTGAAAGTGAGTGCGGGTGGTATGAATTAGGTTGGTTTTGTTTTATTGGGGTTACCGTCCTATAAACAACTCAATTAATTAAAAGACGTGCCTCCCCTTGCAATAAAAAGGACTGATAACGATTCTGTATATGTTTGTTAGGGTTTACGTCTTATTAACAGTTATGGTCATTTAAGGACGTGATAGGTATTGGTGATAGTACCTGGAGAAAAACAACAGACCTGCGGCTACTAGCTTGCGACTGCCCCACATAGGTCCCGAACTACATTTATCACAAGTATAACACATTTTATAAGGGAATATGTTTTGTTTGTTTCTAGGCTGACCAGGAAAAAGAGTTTGCCCAGATAACAGCCTTCATCGACTCCCATCCATTCTTCTCGAACATGTCAAGCAAGTTCAAGAAATTATTGGAAATGAGTCTGCGGAAGGAAACATACACGTTTGACACCGTCATGATCAAACAGGGTGATCCAGTTATTGGTCTTCATTTTCTTCTCCAGTAAGTAATTCGCTGAAATGATGTGATGCTCTGTTATATCCAATTATTTAACTCATATAGTGTGCTATATGAAGCGACTGACTTAAGGTTCAACAAGCCCCCTATAAGATGTAATAGTCACCCTAAATTTCAACCCCCTGACAAGTCATATTCAAATACCTTTATCAAAAATCGGAATATATACATGTAATTTAAATATATTGAACTTGTACATGAGCTATTAAAAAGGTACATAACCAGATTAACGAAGTCAAAATATGGCATCAAGTCTGATGTAATGATAAAAGTTGCTCACCAGATTTATAGCATGTCAATATCTCAAGCGACCCAGCTAAATGTTACAAACTGACATGTTGTTTGAAGATCATTTATATACCTAGGTCATGCGGGGCTTTATTTCTCTTTAAATTTGTTTGGAGAGGTATACCGGCCTCACAAGAAGATGGCTGTTGCTATGGGAAAGTACAAAAATCATAGTAAAACGTCCGCGTAACATATTTTAACGGTATATATGTGTAAAACCATACACCCTTGACAATAAACACTATTAAAACTTCATATAAGATGTCCTTTCTTAATGTCAATGATTTTGTAAAAGAGCTAGACTTGTTATAAACATTATTATACTGTTCAGCTTCAATGTTTATAACATGTCCAGCGCATTCATATAATCACAGAATGTTATCAAATGGCACATCATCTAAAGTTCTTTTATTGATCAGGGTTACTTAGGCTTTGTTTTCTTATTTATAAATTGCTAAAATGTATTACCAGGGGATTTTACAATGGTTTTAGTGGTTTCGTATGGCCACATTAAAACCAACATCAGCGAATGAAACAATTTTATTTATTTATTTTGTGTTGTAATAATTCATATAATCTTACTGAAATGTTACAATGATTTACGCTATTAATATTGTTGTACATTTGGCCTATAGGGGACAAGCGAAAATAGTGGCTGAGCCGCACAAACATCCGAAGCAGTATCCTCATCTTTGGCCTTTCGAGGCCGGCATCGATATCATATCAGTGGAGTTTGCACATCTGAGGTAAATAACCTACTTTCTATGCTATCAGATACCGTGTCACTTTGCTAAAATTGTTTTTAATTATATCTTAATCTAGTATCGAATATAAGAATAATTAATCGATAACAGATCAAACCTGTTCCGCATGGCATGTAAGGAAAACAGGTTACCAAAGAATCGCACATGCTTGTGTTTGGTAAATCTGTGTTCACACCCGATGGGGGAATCAATCACCTTTTGCTTGATATATTATAAGTTGAAATGGTGCATCTAATGTTGAATCATGCTTCCACCAATTGAAATGTATTGAGCGCAATAATTTGAGTTTATAGATATAGGTAAGTAAAAATTAAAAAAGGAGAAACTCAATATTTCTAAATTTTATATTAATAATCTACACACATTTTATTCAATATAACAATTAGTACTTTGATGCCACAGTTCTTGTTTCTAATATTTTTGGGTTGATCATTAATCGTGTTTATGTATCATTCGTATATCCAATGCTAAACACGACATTTTAAAATCTAGGTGTAAATAAACTGGTTAAGTAGGAAACTATTCATATTCACAGGGAAGCAAGGCGAGCTGCAATCCTCCGTAAATACGAAGATCCGTCCGTTTGGGAGACAAAAACTGAGGATACAATCATTAGAAGGGAACAAGGGTATGCCGCGGTGGAGAAATGGATGAAGGAAAAGCACATAGAATTGTGTAGTGTTCAAGCAGGGGAGGTACTTGGTGACATAGAAACGCTCATGAACTTCAACACCTATATGCAGACTGTGAAGTGTACTTCCAACACAGAAGTGTACATTCTTGATTCAAAGAACTTTGAAAGGCTTGTAGGCAAACGAAACCTTTCTACGACAGAGGTCATGCGTGCAAAAGTGATAGAAAAGCTCAAGACACGCGTAGATTCAAAACATGGACATTTGGTGCCTTTACTGAAATTCCTTCATTTCAAAATGAACGAGCAGAGCTTGCCTCCGCCGCGAGAGTTACCGAAATTAAAAACTACAAAAGTGTTACCAGATAAAGATGTACAAAACCTGTTTTTGCTACAAGCATTCAAATCTGGAAAAGCTCCTCTTGTTGAGCCCATTGTTCCAGGAACTTTGTACTACAAGGATTTGATGAAAGAAAAGGCCAAGTCTAGGGAAATGCAACGCAAGGCCGAAGGTAAGACAGTTGCATCGACAACGTCTACACTAAGGGCAAACAAACGCAACAAACCAAAACGGCAGCCGCGAAGTTTAATGGCGATTCGGGAGTCGCTACGGCAAATGATGGAGGCTGATGTCATCCAAGTAGACAATAAATCAACCAGAAAAAAGCTTGGGTCAAAATATGGGTCAACGGTATCTCTAGCTCCGTCAAACCAGTCTCAACAATTATTCCCTCCAATTGTACCCGTGACAGATTCTAAACCAAAACTAGACAATTCCAGGAGTTTCATGACAATGTTAAATTCTAAATCGCATGAGAAAGAGACTCCAGTAAGGGAAGTGGATATTACACCACGTGACCATGAAACAGTGCAAGGAAACAGTGCTTCACAGGATCAGAAAAAAGTGTCTCCAAGGAAACAGAAGCCTGTGCTTATAACAGAGACTGCCGCACCTAAACGCGATGTAGATTTGCCGATGATTACCGAGGAACGAACACAAGAGGAAATCGTTCTTCATAAGAAAGTGTCAGGGAAATATGCAAAGGAAGGAGATACTTTAGATGGGAGAGTGGCTTTACCTGCCATAAAGGTTACATCGACTGATCGGAGCCAGCCCCGTGTGAAACAACAACAACAAAGCTCTAATCCTGGTGAAATAGTTTTCCCAAACAATGTGACAGGTGAACGTTTGGTTTTGCCATCCATTGAAGGAACAGAGGACGCAAGTTCTCCCGAACGGAAGGGAAAGTGGGGTAGCGCAATGAAATTTGTAAACGAAGAAATACAGCAACGTTTAACTAATGAAATGGAGGATGGTACTTTTCAACGGGAGATTGACAGTGAATTTCACGACAAAGCTATGGTAATGCTGGAAAGCAAAATTGAATCCTTTAACGTCCAGCATGGTGGACCTGCAAAGTGTCTACCGAAACTAGCACGATTCGCTGCAGACGTGAGTAAACAGTTCATTTGTTTATAAAAGCTTATCAAATAGTTTCCTTCATAGGTTTTATAGGAATGTTTCTTGTTCAATATCACCAAAAAATTATGTTTAAGAAATGCATTTTCGTTTGAGGTAAATTGAGATATTTGTATTATAAATAGTTCGTCATTATTCGTCATTCAACAAAACCACTCTTTGTATTTGAATTAAAACTACCTCAATTAAATTCCTGTCACCTGGTACTCGACGATCGACATAATTAATGATATGATGTTTTGTAAGTAAAACCAAGTTAACCTATGTTAGATCCAGTGTATATAGTTTTGAGTAGCTAATTATGTACAGGCAACCGTAGATAGAAAGAATAATCTAATTGTTTATTAATATTTCATATAGCCTAATTCATTGCTTCAAACGTATGATGGAACACTATCTGTTTGATCTTTCTTTTCGATTAATATAGTAATCACTACAGAAAATATGTTTTAAAAGAATTACTGGGGTATAAGCAGATGAAAATCTACATTATTATTTAACTGTCTCTTTTTAATTGGCTTCACTGTTTTCCTGCAGTATTGATAATGTAAGCCTTCGCAGTATTTCCAGGAGCGCTTTTCGTTTTAGATTGATATCACTAATATAAAGCTATACAGGTTTTCTTTACGACACATGCTGTTTTTCTGTAGACGCGGCGGTATCGACGACGACAGGTATTAATATATCACATTTGCTTTTTCTAGTAGAACAGTGTATACTTTTCCATTTTTATTGATATCATACATGTACCCATTATCTGTTTGTATGTCTACCTGTAGTAGCGCTCTAGTATCCAATAATAAATTCTGTGTTATAAGGTTTGTATATGCAATCATGAGCTGGTGGGTTTCATATTCAGTTTGAAAGCTAGTTTCATTTTGCTTCAAATTTCAATATATGGGCTCAAAATAGATTACATATGTTGCACTTGGCGATAAAGATTATAACTACAAACTACATCCGTGTGAGTTATTTCCCTTCATTTCAACACATCGATAGCGAATGTGTTAGCTAGGCTTTTATGAGTATGACCGGTAAAACAATCGAGCACTTCTGTATTTTGTAGTAAAGTAAATTTCTATCTTAATGTCCCAGACAAAACCTTATTGCCTGCAGAGTACCTTGAACAATGTCATACTTTTTATGTATTCTCTTGACAGGGAAGGGTTTGTCCGAACGTAGAATGCTAGATTTATAAAAGTACATTAAACTATGAACTTATCTTAGTCGCAATATGCTGCATACAACAGTAGAGTAATATTACGTCGTGTTTAAGTACTGTCATGGTTTATGATGACCTTTTGTTTCACGTGTAAATGATGACTTGTCTTACTTGTTACAATTTTTCGTGTCTCTATTTTAGTGCAAGCTATGCACAGGATATCAATACATCGAATTTATAATATATCTCTATTATCCTAGACCACAAATTTACAATTATATTGGGTTTCTTGTAGCACAGACAATGACAGGTTTAGCCTTTATCTGTATGTTTATGTGTGCACAGGAAACATTTATTTTAAATATGCACTTTAAAGTTATTGTATATATTCAGAAATATGTATAGCACGTGTACTGCACGATGTAGCTAAATATATACTCGCCTATGTATCCTACATGCTATATTTTTCCTACATCCAGAAATCAGGAGTATTATCTTATAACTTTGAACGCATGTGTTGGTAGCAAATGCTATATGTACTGAGTACGAATGTTTGTAAACAGGTAAACTGAAATGTCGAAATGTCTGTTTAAATGCTTACTCCTATCTTTATTTTATGTTTCAAATGATATACTGATTTAAGATAATTCTCTATCAACAATATATGCATGCTCGATATATTTCATATGTAGCCATGAATATTAAAATAATGCATATATATATCATCAATATATTAATAAATCTCTCATCCATTAAATATATGAGAGTTTCAATAATTATTTCGATGTGTTTTTTGTCAGAGAATCAAACACCTATTCACAGTTATTAATAAAAACTACTAAAAAGAGTATAAAAAAGCTGTCTTTGGATATTACTGTGCAATCAGGGGGCGCTATTAACATATTAACGACTTTTACATCCCTACATACTGTACATTATAATTGTTTTGTCTATGGAATGCAAAAACAAATTTGGGGCGGAAGCTTGACTTTGCGAAAGTTTCCCAGTACAAAGTATTTCATTTACTTCAGATCGCCGTTTTATAGATCAATTATTATGCCAGGTAACATACACAAAATGTCTTAATATTATATTGCAGTTTTCATTTTCCAAATTATTGCTGTCATTGCAGGAAGACGAGATAAATTCTCCAAAGCCTGGAGGGAAGGTTTGGATCCGGAAGCGAATGTGCAGGTTTGCTGATAACAAAGTGCAGGTCAAGGATCACCAGCACGTGCGGCACTATATTGTTAACGACCTTCCTCAGTTCGATCAGGTTGGCAAAACAAAAGACGTGATGCGGTTACTCATGCCGACATCTAAACATTGAAACTTGATGCTATGTTAATGGAGATTATGACGAATGCTATTTATTAATTCACACAGTGGACAATGTTTATGTTGCCGCTACCTACCATGCCTGCCAATATTTACAGCCAAACCATTGCATAGGACCTACTGGCTTTCAGTGAAAATAAGCATCATTTTTTACAATTGTTTACAAGGTTAAATCATTTCTACATTACTCACTGGTGCATTGTTACAAATATCGTCGCGGCGGTTGTCCTTTAATGGGGTTAGGTCTTGATCAGATTTGGGAGCATCCCTATGAAAAAAGGGATAAATACTTAAATGTGAAATTGTGACATCCGTTTCTTACAATGAACGTCGCTAAGGAGTAATGTATGGCAATGTTGATTTAGTTATGTAAATTATATTTATTTTTGATAAAGAAAAATAAAGTAATTTTATAATGTCCAGTTGAAAACTGTAGTGTATAGATATGTGTCCGTCCTTGCACCTCTATATACATTGAATATCACTTGATAAAAACCAAAACAAAATGTAGGTACATATGTATCCATGATTGAGATGTGTACAACTATATAATACCTATGCAATATTTCAGGTGTCCCGTAGATCTGAGGATGAGTATGATAGCTATAGTCTGTTCTCGCAGGTAAAAGCATGATTCTGCTTGGTTATGGTTCCCGCACCTGTCTTCTGATACTGCTGTATCACAACACCTGTCATGAGGATGCCAGGGCCACGTGTTGTGAGGGGTATTTGGAGCACCCTCCTGTTCCACCCTAAACTATGTTATAGATCCTATCCTATCCTGAAGCATAACAAAATACAATTATAAATTCTCTACATTCAGACATAACACATTTTCCCTTTTTAATCTCATTTTTCACTTCTCTACTAATAGTTAGTGTTGTTCACGACTTTTATCATGAACTTGACATTCGGTGCGTTAATTCTAAATTAAATCTCAAAGTCATGTGCATGTTCATACTGTAATGATATGCATTTAAAAAAGAACCATGATTTTAATATATCTTCAAATTTAAATATATATCCAAGAAGAAAATAAAACTTACAGAACCCCACAAGCTTATAGATGCACATCCCTGTAACCCTGATTTCCCAAAGGGTTATTATATCTTGTGGACGATAAGATATTAATTAGATTTCTTAATTAGCTCATTTTTGATTAATATAGAACACATATTATATAGTTACAATTATCATTTTAACGTCCACTTAACCATTTAGCGACATTTAATGTTGGAAGTATTCCCATTCATTTTTTCTATCATATTAGCATTTCCTGTGATTTGATACATTTGAAACGGCATACACGTTATTGATTTTGTGCAACATTTATGTCATACATGCTCAGCGTGTCGATATATCTTATTTAGATCAATGTCAAACATCTTGTGATGTAATGCCTATGACAGTTGTAAACGTTGCACATGATGACATAATCACATATATGTCACAATCGGCACACCTCGGCAGATCTACATGGTTAGATGAAGGGTACCGGAATCGGCCGAGGTTAGCCGAATGACCTATGTCACTGTTGGAAATACCTATATAATATATCATTAGTCACAGTTTTAGGAACGGAAGCAGTGCTACACAATTTCAATTACTTTAATATTTAAAATTCGTTTACTTCAAAACAATACATCAGTATCACTTTGCCGATATAACATTTCGTCCAGGCAAGGAAAATTAGGAACGGGAAGGAAGTGACTAAAATAAATGGAAAGAGAGTTGAAGGGTATTGAAATATTTAAGAAATTAAAAATGAATCATTTCATTACATTATATATTTATTACACAAATGCTTTGATCTTTTAATTGTTTCACTTTATACGTTTATATAGTCATTTATATGAGAGTAATTTAAAACTAATAGGATTTACGCGAATATTGTTTTTTTCATACGCGTGCTTCAGACGTCTTGTCGGCAAGTATGCTAACTCTGAAAAATTACAGACACATTATAAAGTTTTTGAAAGTGTATACAATATATATTGCAAAATATCTAGGCTAGCATCGCCTCCTGCCAATGAACGCAGAAATGAATATATTGCGTAAATATATATGATTGATAATATACATTATGATCTAAAACGGCAATTTGTTTCAATTTGATTGATGGAAAAATGAACATGTACGTGCATAGAGGAAAAAAGCACTTGAATGATAGTTTTCTTCAAAACATCACTCTTCTTAATTGTGTGACTCTAATGTGTTTTTTTCACTTAAACAATGATGCATAATACCTTTGTACATCAACAAAGCTTAGTCGTAATGAAAGGATGATTAAGTACATTTTGTATGTTATTTTTGTGTTTTAAGAGACATTTTCAGCATTGTATTTGTTTCATGTTATAATATTCATTATTAAGAATATATATTGATGGAACATGTTTTACTATTTTTATAACAATGAAATACTGACATTAATTTTTTATTTATTAACACTACTGATATTTGTTTTTAACTTTATCGAGATGAACTTCAACGCTACCTACATATATACTTTATTCCTGTCATTTTGTATTAGACATATTAAACTTAGTCTTTGCCATACATTTTATTTTGCAGTGATGCAGAAATAAGCTCTGGAACATAAAACCAAGCCATCAATCAAAAGCATAATATCCATAAACCCCAATAGGCAGCAGAAACAGTCAAACTAGATAAAAATCTAAATATTTTCATGATTTAAAAGTAAACTATTCTTCCACCTTCACATTTATAGTTATATATGTCATATCCGAATTTAGAGACATTTTTTTCTTTTAGATGAACCTTGTAACATTATTTCGGACTTTCCCCAAAGCGAGATAACTCTACCGTAAGAATTTATAGTGTCATCATCTTTTAATGCTGATTTATTGCTCAGTATTCAAGTACTGGATATTTCACTGTTTATATACGTTCTAAATAAAATAGCTACCTCTTACTTCATGGACATGTGAAAGCTGACAGAGAGGTTGATGATTCAGTGTGGACCTTTATTACTGGACAATCTCTAGACGATGAGATGCAGCTTTTCGTGAACCCGTTAGAAAGATAATGTTTTCCGAAAAGATCGAGGAACAGAAGTGCTGTCTTTTAATATATGTAAAAGTCATTTTTTGTGTCTTGATCATATCAATATTCATGTGTTGAATGTCTTTGCTAGTTAACTGTCCAAGCCTTGTGATAACTGTATCAGCCATCTGTGATATTAAAACAATGTAATGTAAATAGATTTTATGTTTTGTACATACATGTTTGTGACAATGTTGTACAATACTGATAATGTATATATATATTTGTTAGGAAAGTATACTAAGCGTGTCAATTAATATGACTAGTCTTTAATATATTGTTTAACATAATAAAATATCGATTAACGTATTACATTTTATCGTTTGTATTTTTATTATAGCTATGATATCTTATTTACTACTGAATGGAGACATTATCAGATAACAAAATTCTTAAAAATCTGCTGATTTTGTCTGAAATCATTGCCACATGAACATTGTTCCTTACTTTTCAAGAATTGATGGGGAAAACAAATTAATGGATGTTTCACAATTGTTAACTCTTTCTGAACACTCTTTTTAAATTTTCAATTGATTGAATAAGTTTTGATATAGTTCATATTGATTTTTTCATAGTAATTGCAAGCACGAACAATAATAACACATATCCCTGTATTTAAACATAAGTAGTATTTCGATGTATTCAGCAGACGTCTCAAATTACACAAGGTATGGCTCGTATGTTCATATTTCGTGACACCTTCAGCCCGAAATAATTATGTCCATTTGAGCAACAAACGAGTGCAATTTGAGGCGTCGTATGAACACGTGGGATATTGCTCTCGTTACATTCCTACAGTTATTATTAATATGCATATCATATTTTTCCAAAATATTGCTCAGCAATACTTTGTATCAATGTTTCATTTGCTCTTGAAACGAACAACAACGGAGGTAAAAAGACGATGACGAAAAAGGATAACGATGGCATGTAACCAGTAAAGTAAAATTCTGCGTACGAAAGTTTTTTGCTGAGTCTTTGAAATGTGATGAGTTCAAGCCAAAAATAAGTTCTAGACAGGATTAATAATACATCTTGAAATATCAAAGTGTGAAAATTGAATGACTAAAAAATAGTTGCATAACAGCAGAAACGATTCACAAGGTATGCAATAAATTATATTACAATAATTTCCTCTATGGAATCATATTATTATAAGTCTCCTTTTATGTGCAAACATTTATAGTATTACACTGACTCTCTATACAACATAAATGTGTATATAAATAGAATAATAAAATAACAAGATGCAACGAAGATGAGATAAACCTCATACCATTCGTATTAAAGAGTACAGATGTGTGTTGATATGGTTGTCTGATTCATGCCAATATCAAAATAATTTCTTATTTTCTTTTAATATGTGATAAATTCAAAAGTAAGCGTAATGAACCCTTGGCGAAATACGTATTCAATTTAAAAGCAAAATGCATCACGAACCAAACATGCTGTAAAACGTACATATAGTTTTAACATTTTAATGTGTTGTGAAATAAAAAAAATAAAAAATATAAAGGGGTTCAATAAAGATTTGTTTTGTGATGAAATATAATTAATTGACTTTCTTGGTGTTTTGTATCTTGCGGGTTCGATACTGCTTATAAAAAATAGAAATTTTGGTCTAGGATTTGTAATTATTTTCATCCCCTTATTTATTATATTCCAAGAAATACATTCTTTAAGAATGATTTCCTTGAAAAAAGGTCTTGGTTTTGGTTAAATAATGAAGTAAAAGAATGGTTCTTAATGACGTGTTATCGTGAATTTATTGAAACGTGAGAACTATGGATTGCTCTCGATGACTTTAAGAGGTTCTAACTAAAGGGAAGTTACTCACAATAAAATGTAAAGACTTCCATTTGTGTATCAGTAAGTTTGACCTTGCAAAGTATGTGTCGTTATCAGTATGTGAAATGAAACATTAAAATCGTAGCGATAGGAAACCCAGATTGAGCAGTATGAAATTCAATTACCTTATATCATCCTTATTATCACTACACCTGTAATATGTAATGTCGAATAAATACTGAAATAAGATAACACAGAGGTCTGCCACACAGCTACAATATTGTGTACCGCATGACAGCAATGATAGCACACTGTACACAGGTAGTATCAATGTATGCTCTATAACCACCGCCATAATGAAATCACTGATTTCGATATGTATGGTTGCTTGGACGGTAACTGTTGTGTCGTGTAAGACGCCACATATCCCTGTAACATGTAAGAAAATATCGCCATGTGTATGCAGAGATGAAACTGGTAAATATGTCGATCTCCGATCTCTCGCTAAGAAAAACGGAGCACCAAAGTAAGTAAAAATATTGAATATTTGTTTGTTTATATGGGGTTTAACGTCCTTGGAAAGGCCAAGGTGAAATAAAAAGACGGGTGTCTGGGGGGATAACACCGAAATGAATATTAAGGACAGCGCGTATAACTTGCCTGCAAAGCTGTGTCTTTCGTATAGACGTCAGCAACATAATTTAATGCTTAAATGTTTAAATGAAATCCGTCTTTGACATGAATGCACCTCCAAATTATATAAAATCATGATGTTTTGTTGTTATCACTATCAAATAAGCACTTCATATCTATACTGTTGTATTATTGGTCATACGGGTCATCGAAAGACCTTGCTCTCTAAGCGCACAAATACCATACACATACAGCAATCACTGTCCATTTGTTTGAAAGATATCTCACGTGAATTTTCCTTCAATTATCGAAAAAAGTGACACGATGATTTGCAAATCTCCGCCAATGATCATAAAAACGTCGTGATAGAATCACAATCAGTTAACGATATAGTAAAGTTTGTTATAAATCTATGTACTAAGGCGTAAAAAACAGTATTTCTGAGGTGTGAAATTGGGGGAAATTGCATCTTATTAAACAAATTCAGATAAAGAAAATAATAAATGTAAAAAGAAAAAAGAACGATAGAAAACCAGAAAACAATCATATTGACATACATATCTGCTAATGTTAGGATCATACAACGTTTTGAATTGGAATGACTCCGTTTGTTCTAGGTTTCTGGATTATCCAACGGCTGGTGGTGACAGTAACCTTTACTCCTTTAATCCTTGCTACGGCTTCAACGAAGGCGAGAACAACAGCTTATGCCGGAATGTGTCGGTACGTCAAAGAGCATGCACACAGAGTATCTTGTATAATCCTGACCATGATTGTTTCGTCTAGTCCTTCCATTGAGTATTCGGATATTCTTGTACTGTCTATTTTGATATAATGCTGTAATCATATTTTTTATGAAACTTTTCACATAATACCTGTATTTTCGTTTCTTATTTTACCTATGTTTCTTGTGTTCTATAAGGTGTCAGATTAAAAAAGTTTTTCTGTTCACAGTAACAAAGTGTAAAATTAACTATTGTACAATGCAAATGTAAATACTTGCAAGTATATGTTAGAGTGCATAATTGAAGTCGGATTTACTTGTTAATACGCTAACGAGCGGCTGTCGTGTATAGATGCTAGTCGGTAGTTGTTGTTTTAGAATTGCCTTTACCTTACGCCAGTATGGTGATGTTTATACCCTGTGCACAAAGGTTGTTTATATATATCAACATCAAACCAATACGCTTCAAACTCACGGTTACTCTTGTTTATTGCTCAAATATTCCTACATGCAAAATGTTTTGATTGTACCCCGTACTGCAGCTATTAGAGAATAAAACAAATACCATGTTGATAATAATAAATGCAACAAGATTGTTGTCCTTTGTTTTGCGCCGTTCAACTCCTTAACAAAAGAATGATATACAATTGTTTTATATTATAATAGTACATGTCACCCTTGTAGTATTTTAAATACTCTATCGACATATTTTACCACCGCCACTTCTATCGCTATTGTTTTAAACATAAATTGTTTTGCTGAAAACACACATTTTCGCACAGGTCTGCCAAGCGAACAAAGACAAGACACGATTTATGGCAATCGGTGAACAGGATACTGCACAATTCAGCCACGGAGACAACGGGAATCTATCGTTAGTGTTTGGATCATCTCTGAACAGATACAAAATGTAATTACTGTTTCTAAACAGCTATATACAGGTCATATGAAAAGGCGTGTGTTGTTATAGATATGTAGATACATGAAACAACGAAATATCATAGTTTACCACATGCTACTGATATTAATTATTTCTAAACATTTAAACAATTTGAAATAATATCAGATGCGTTGAACCATTGCTCTCATATTCAGCACCAGATCAGGGAACTCGTACCTGTGATTTGGAGATAGACTGAGAGCAGAGAACGATTTATGTGACTGGGGTGTCTTCAAGTGATATATTTGAATATACAAACATTCAATAAAACTTCTTCAATATTGATCTGATTTAACATTTAAGCTGATTATGATTTTAATCCATTAAGTTATTAACGCTTTCAGAGTTTGATAATTGCAAAGGACATGGATATATTTGGACGAAAAGCTTTATTTACCATTACAACAAGAATACAATTCACCGGAAATCGTTGGTGTAAATAAAGGAATGAACTATACTGTATATTAAAAACATAACGTATGTTATACTCGAACTTCAAATAAGTGTGAAATTGCGATATTGGAATAAATTGTTTTTATTCCATAGCACGACGTTTGTAATCTTGTACTGTGCTGAAGATGTTGAAGACGGTTATTTCAGAGTTATTGGCGACATTGGGAATCATTCCTATGTAAGTAATAATAATAATAATTGGAGGTTCTTATATACTGCTTTATCACAACCTAGTTCGTAGGTCGTCTCAAAACAGTTCACAATTATTATCCGTGGTTATAAAGGAAAAGGGAATAGGAACACAGTTGTCATAATTACATAAATATGTATACGTATAACTCATTTAAAAAATAGAAATAACATAAGTTAGTATGAACAAAGTAGTCAATATCGATAAATAAACTTAATACGGAAAGTTTGACATGAGCAATTTAGCAACCACTTATATAATAAATTAACTATATTTTACAGTGGCTCCAACTGAGAAGCAAACATTGCTGTCCAAAGAACGAAAGTGAAATTAAGGATTTGGATGAGCTTTTAGGAGTCAATAATTCCTGGGAAGAAATGACCATGCCCACAATGACTTCACATTCTGTTGTGACAATGACCACTTCGCCGGACATACCAGGCTCTATCGATGTCATCGTCGTCATCCTTTTCTGCATATTGTAACGAAATTAACATCATATTGTAAAAATACTAACATCCGAGTGTATTCTTATAAGTAAAATATTCTTATGAATCGTAAACAATAATGAATAATTCACCGATTATTTTTTTTTTATTTTTTTTTAAAGATTTAACCTTGTTAATATAGCTTACTTCTTTTAGTTGCACAGTATTACTTAACATGTTGAAGATCATGATGTTCTATGTTAAACAAGTTGGTATTTATATATTGCTATACATTTTAGCCAAGGTAACATTATGTTTTGATAACATTTCAGAGTGGTAGCTGTCATGATACTTGCGGCCTTGGCTGGGGCAGTGTTATACTACAGAGCCAGGCACCCGATGTTTGGTAAAAACGTGTACTACCATCCCGTGGACAATGATGACGAGGAGTATGATGTTCATTTCGATCAACTAAGCACAGAAAGAGGAAAGGAAGACAAGTTTAAGAATGACGTTTACGGTCATATGACATCATAGATGACACATTTATTTTATGATGGTATATAGGTCTTATTTATTACTGATCATGTGAGGTATGTTAAGTTATATAAATAAACGTTAGCACATTTATCTTAACACACACACATCATAAACGTACGATTTGCAAAATGATCACAGGATCAGCGATTGGGGTGATAAGCTCATCTCTTGCCCAATTTTGTTATGATATTAATTATTTTTTACAATGATAATAAAATGTGTTGTTTGATCGAGTAATGCTGTATTTCATTTAACTAAATATGTTCACACGATTACAATCATCACCATGACTATGATTTCAAAACTACTGAATGATATTAATTATTACACCTCTACTTTATTTACTCTATATAAAAGTAATTGGTTAAATCGAATATGTCCCCACTTTCGCCTGAGTGTGGTTTAGTCCTGTGTGTTAGTCTGTGAACTAAAACACCCCTACACTCGGGTGTTTCCGCCGAGCCAATCAGGCGAGAGGTGGGCGGAGCTTGTTACCGAACTCGGCAGTGACGCGCGAGGTGGGCGGAGCTTGCTGCCGAACTCGTAAGCATTTGGCTCTATTGCCATCAAAAGGGTATTTGGAACGTGAAGCTATACAGCTTATGGTTTACAAATAATTTCTAGTTAAAACCATCTTTCCAGTGTGTATCGGTATAATAAAACGGTTAAAGTATGGGGTTGAGGCATATATAGCAAGTTTCTGGTGTCCCTTGACCATGCCTATTTCCCTCGGCTTCGCCTCGGGAAATAGACCTGGTCTCGGGACACCAGAAACTTACTATATCCCTTAACCCCATACTCTAACTGTATACTAATACCTGTATTTGTAAGAATATGCAAATTCAAATCATGTACGACTCACACCATGGCAGGAACAGAACTATTTAATAGAATTAAATCTACTAAGAATATTCAATATTCATCTGCTTCAACCTTAGATACGGTTTGTTTGGTGTTATCAAAGTGGATTAGAATAATTCGTGTAATGTATATTATTGGGAGGCACGGTACTCTAGTGTTTGGACGCCGGACTCGTGACAGAAGGTTTGCGGTACGGCACTGTGTTGTATCTTTGAGCAAGATACTTTACTCTGTTTGTTCCAGTCTACTTAGCTGTAAATGAGTACGTGGTTGGGCAGTGCTAGAATTGTTGAATACTAGCTGTTAGCGCCGAAATAGCCGCACCGGCTGTATGCTCCCCAGGGAGCTGAGAAAGATATTGGCTGGTTGCAAAGCGTTAAGAATTTGTGAACCGCTTTGAGACGACCTACGAACTAGGTTGTGATTAAGCGGTATATAAGAACCTCGAATTATAATTATTATAATTAATTATATGCTTTAACACAGATATAGAGCGTTTATTCGATCATTTGGGATGAAACGTCCTCGCAATATAAAGAAGGTACACAGGGAGAAACAATGGTAACAAGAAAGTTTCCTTATGTGTCCTCATACAAGTGCCCACTTACGATACGCTTGCAACTGCACACAGCGTATCTATCCGTGGTTAGTCTTATATCTCTTATACAGAGGACAAGGAACACACCGATCCCAGTCGCCTATTATGATCATGCAGCTGCCTAGATACAGCAGGCATATTCTCTTGAACGTACACATGTTGCCATCGAATGTCATTCGAAAAACTCGAACATTTCCTTTCTACAAAATTCTTAACATGGTTCTCTGGTTATTACACTGATGTGTAACGACCAAGACATGATAGTTTGGAACACATAGTCACTTGCGTATTCAAAGTGTCATGTCATGGTTGATACACATCAGAGTAATAACCAGAGAACCCTTTCAAGTACCTCATTGACCAATATGGAAATGGCGTCATATTTGCGCTTATAATGGAATGAATCAACTTCATTTTTAGTTGGTTGATATAGCAAATTGTAACACAAATGTTTTCCCCTGGACATTCATTAGTATATTTATACTACATCCTCAACACAACGACATCATAGTAACTCCTTAGTGATACGGAGAGATTAATACAGGGACGGAGAGACACTTCCATGATAAAATAACCAACGATTCACAACAAAGACAACTGTGAATAAAAATATCTGATTACATCCTCACTTTTGATTTGTTTTTATGCAAGTTGTAGTGAAAACGTCTATCAAAACTAAACGGAATTCAAACGCTAATGTATTGTTAGCAATACTTAATACATACAATCATCATGTATTATTTCTTAGTGATTAGAAATTTGACAGGGTCACTCTCAAACATGTGGTGGTCTATAAGGGATGCGTACATATTACGAGAAAAGAAAGAAAGTTACAATGATGCTTATAAACCGTGTGAGTTTAATCAAGAACGTAACATAGACTCGATCACAAACAAATAGCATGTATCATACCCTAGTTTAAGTAGTCTTATTAAACGAATAATGGGAGACTTTATCTCAAATTGTGTCAACATCACGTTACACAAGTTTTAATCTTGAACGTGTTTATCAGCTTGATAATGGCACATTTATATACGTCGTTTGTACAGATATATAAATATATATGACATACTTACGAGGGGCATTTAAAAACACTTTTTATTATTGATGAACGGTGTGTTAATACCTTCGATAAAGCAAACTATCTCTAAAAACTCACCACTGAGCAATTGTAATGGCATCAACTCTCCTGTTGGTGTTTGGGAGCATTGGACTGTCCTTGGCACAGATCCCCATCACGTGTGAAAGAGTATCGCCATGTATCTGTAAGGATCAGAATGGACGGTTTGTAGATCTCCGACCTCTAGCCCGACAGGATGGAACTCCGAGGTATTGTATTACCTTCACTATATCTAATTCAAAATTATACCATAGCAATGCCTTCTTAACAAAATTAATGCTTTGGTCAATATTGTTAGAACAGAACAATATTTAATTTTGAACAAATGAGAAATAATGTTGATACATGTAAAATCACACCCATGACTTTGCTACACGCATGATACAATATTGTCATGATGAAAATGTTAATATCATCCAAGTTACGTTACGGTCAATCACTAGTTTTGTTTCTCGAAAACTTATTTCCTGTCTCTCCTTCTAACGAAATGTTCATTTCAACAAATTGTATTGACAGATATTGAACATTTAAATGGATCGAATAATAGGCCAGCCTATATAAATATCCTCTCCATTAAAACGACGTGTTGCGAAATAATCAAAGTCAGGTATATTGTCTTTGTTAATTTTGTGTTAATACATATTCTCGAGACATTGAATTTCCGATCCCCCTCTAATCGCGAGTGAACAGGAAAATATGTATTTTGCAAAATATAACCGATTTTAATTATCTACATATTTCAAATATATCAGAATAAATAAGTATGCTAATTCACACTGACACACTTGAAATCTCGTATGATGAGTTTGGTAAAGATTTGCGTTTAGAGTTCCAATTTTTATTGTGTAATAGATACCATGATGTGCCGAACTTTGGTGGGCGTGAGCCATCCAAGACGGTCTATTCTTACAATCCCTGTTTCGGATTTAGCGAGGGACCAGCTGGCAGTGCATGTAAAGATGTAGCAGTAAGTTTTGTCTGAAATATTGATTTCCTATGTTATACTCCACAGGGAATCTATGATCCACTAATTACGTAATAGTTAAGTATATCAGAACACATCTAATACACATTTTTTGCAGACACGCTTCACTGGTCATTAGTCTGATGAAGGTACATACCGTACAAGCCATTGCAACGTCACATAAAAATAATTATTGGTTGTGTAACAAGAAATTTTCATAATCCATACTTACCAACATGAAGAAAATGTTTAGAAAAAAAAGATTCAGGGTACCGGTAAGTCTATTTTCTGTTGTCTTCGGATAACTTGCTGTTTTCTGTTACGAGAAAGACATTTAACAATATAAATTAGCCTCCATCAGTCCTAATCAGTTCATTCACTGACATGTCGGCCTGGGTGCCGTTTCACGACGCGTACGTAAATTTACGAAACGGCACCCTGAATGGCTAGCTGGTGTATTATACATATGTAAATGCAATATTGACATCACTTTGCAACTAGTTTACATAAGAGAACTATAATTGCAGATTGGCGCTATACAATCTACATGACCAAACTTAGCAGAGCAAACTTAACTAGTCATAATAATAATAATAATAATAATTGGAGGTTCTTATATACCGCTTAATCACAACCTAGTTCGTAGGTTGTCTCAAAGCGGTTCACAAATTATTATCAGTGGTTATAGGGCCTTTGCAACTAGCCGGTACATTTCTCAACTCCCTGCGGATCATACAGCCGCAGCTGCCATTTCGGCGCTAACAGCTAGCATTCAACAATTCTAGCACTGCCCAACCACGTGCTCATTTACAGCTAAGTAGGCGCCCTTTCGCCCCTTCGACCCTTCGGTCACGAGCCCGGAGTTCTACCCCTGGACTACCGTGCCTCCTTTAACATTTTTTTGATGAAATGCTTTGTCTTCTTAGTTATCTATGACGTCATACTTTCAGCAATAGTTTTAGACAACGTTCGTATAAATTATTTAAGATTACTATGTCACTAAAATGATGTACTTTTTTGTTTAATTACAATAAATATTCATATTTGTCCGCATGCATAATATCTAAATAACGTTAATTTCTATAGCAAGGTGTGATTCGTATATCTCGGAGTTCACAAAAAGGTGTAACGGCAGTCATGCTATTGGCATATTTGAGATTAAACTTTCAATGAGTTTTGTATTATTTTGTTCATTAACGTACAGGTTTGTCAGAGCAGTAATGGAACCTCTGAATTCGTCGATCTTGGGGATCAGAGATCAGCTACATTCAGCCACTTCGACAACGGAAACTTGTCTGTCGTGTACAATTCTAAGGACAAACGCTAGTAAGATCGCATTGGCCTGTATAGTGATAAGATACGCAGTCACAAAATAATTACTAGAAACCTATATCATTAAATACCGCAGGTAGCTTATAAAGAAGAGCCTCTTTTGTACGTTTCCATATAAAGGTTTGATTAACCAGTCTGTTTTTCTTTATCTCCATATTATATCACTTTTGTGTTAACCCGATAAATTTAACTTTCATAAAAAAGCTCACAAAAAAATGCTGTTTCTTTTTATTATTATCACCATATCGGCTGAGATATATAAATATTACGTGAACTTTGTACTTTGATAAGTGAGTAGTAACATTGTGTCTCGTGTATGAATATACATGTTTCGTGTTGTGTTTAGTGTGTGGCTACGTGATTCTACCTTACTGATGAACACAAAACTGTTGAATCGATGAAAACTTAATATATATGACGGTATACAGTTTTCTGAATAATGTAAATCAAGTTTACCAGTAATGCTTGGCCATGTATTGTTTATCCCTGTCTTCTATAGCCAGACGATCGTTAGTCTGTACTGTTCTGACGGTGGCACAGAAAGGGAATTTTACGTACAAGGGGACATAGGATCGGGTACAACTGTAAGTGTGATGTTTATCTTAAACGAATTACTGAAAAAAACTTGATGCACCGATAATGATTTATGATATCTCATGTCCGCTGGTAAACTGATGTTTCTGTTTTTATTCGCGAAGATATTCATTCGCTTTTTATTCAAATGTACGGTATGTGTATGAATTCATCTGAAAATTGAATTTGATCTGTAAAAAAACTTTCGTGCAATCAAAGTGATAATCTGTATATCTGAAGATCTGAAAATAATTATTAGGCAGTACTATATCTGTATACTACCTCGTCCAGACGATTTAAAACAACACGAAAGGTTTTAGTAACCTTTGGAAACCGCCTGGAAACATATGTATTGTAAGAAGATAAATGTAAAGAATTATTTAATATTTGTTAAGTTCATAATACATAATGACACTCTAGGGCAAAAGTTGTTACTCTTTTCCTATTTTTTATTTTTGTTCTAGTGGTTACAGCTGTTCACAAAATATGCTTGTCCACGAAATGAGAGTGACATTGATGAATTCGAGTTTGACCATTGGATAACAGAAACAATGGCCGGATCACAGCCGGAAACGGAACCAGTCTTTACTACACCTCCGCCTCCACACGTGGTGACCATGACTGCCCTACCAGGACCTCCCCCTACTTCCAGTCCCGCGACAGTTAGCCTCGTCGTATTATTACTGCTTGCCATTCTGTAAGCTATATACATGTACTTATCTACTGTATGTTCGATGCAATTTGGAACCCTTTGTCTAAAGTACAAAGCATCGAATTTTATCCTCCAAGAAAACGGAAAAAACAAGTCTTATACAGTTGATTTCTTCTATTGGAAATCCGAAATATATTTGAAATTAGTAACAGATGAAAAATTTGATTTACATTTCTGTAAGTATTTCTGGAGTAATGTGTCAATCAGAATAACAGGCGGTAACATTGGCTGGATGTTGCATGGATGCTTCCAAATTTTATTTTACATTATTTTGTTGCTTTTTCTGCAACTGTTTGAAAATATGTCCATCCAAACTGATGCGACACATCAATGCCCAACATGTAGGTTGACTGAATCTGTCAGGTGAACTTATGTCTTGTTGCTGTAATCAGATCGAGGCTATAAATCGTTGTGTTTTCTTATTTCGATAATCAATTGTTGTATTTCTATTATCAGAATTTGTGTAATCCTGGTTTGTCTTACTGTCATCAGGGTCTGTGTAACCTTAATACTAGCCGTCCTGGTGGGCTCAATGATGGTCCGCAGTGCGAGGAAGATACTATTCAGGGACTCTGTTGTCTACCAGCCTGTACCCACAGAACCGCAAGCTTATTACGACAAATCTTTTGGCATTATCTTGTAAAGAAACCCCAGGTTCTTGAGTTATATGTTAATTTTCCGATAAATAAATTTAACACGTTTTTTCATAATTCTGTTATTATCTATGAAACTTGGTTAACACATCAATGACAAGGAAGGGTATGTGATTTTAAAATATGAAGGTCATGTGATAAACAATTGGTTGATGAAAAAGGCAACACACATTGAAGAGAATGATAAAATGAAAAAAAGCCTGCTTTAAACTCAAAGTCAGGCAATTATTAACAAAAGGGCAGAATATCACGGCAGCAATAGTTGTATCAAGAATTAAACTTTTATTAAAGTAGTCGAATTAACGGTTAATCGATAAAGTTGTTTAATCTTTATATATATACCATCAATATAAAGTCTTCGATATGATTCAATTAGTCCTTTATAAACAAATATATTAAATATCCTAACAGCACAGCGACCTAACATATCCATAAATGAACATTTAAATGAAAATAATAATCCGGAATCCTTAAGTAACTATTGATCTGTATCAATACGTTTTTTAACCTGATAATTCAAACGTTGGAGCGATATTGAAAAGCTCTTTAATTTAACCAGTCTACCAGTGACGACATTAATACGATGAGAATCTAATATTTGTACCATAATAAACGTCCAACAAAATATGCCGTTTAAGTCTGTCAGAACTGTCGATCCAAATTAAATAATCTCATAACAATATGATATTTTAAAAATAGTGACTATAGAGTAATAACCTTGTTTAATATTTAGATGTGAAACTGTAATATGTGAACACTCTTCTTTGAGTTGTATGCGAGTGCTAACAGAGACACTAGATACATACTATTTATCAATACCGCTAAACATACCCCGATGTTCGGATGGTCTTATAATACAGTACAGTCCGTTATATGACATAATCAAATAATGTCCTGCATCAACGGTAATGTACGATTTAGAATTTTAATGAAGTAGACAAGAGCAGGAATGATATAGCAGATTTCATTTTTATTTTGGAGTGACTTTTTATCACGAAAATGACGTCCAGATCAAATCAGATGTCAGTCCATATTCAACATGACTGTGTCATCCTCCAGTAAGGCATAGGGTGGAACTACAACAACTACACTCGCCATATGATTATCTATTCACCATATGATTATCTATTCAGAGCATGTTTTTACTTATTTAGCTGTTATATATAAATAAAGACATAAATATAAACATAAGATAAAGCAATATAAAACTAGTTTTCTTGATTTCAATTAATTTCCGTTCCAAACTTCACACTGAGTGGTAATTATTCGACCCGACTTCGATCAATGTCAATTAATTGTATCTTTATTATTATTCTTTCCTTTCTACGTACTCGAATTCCGAAAGGTGCAATTCTGCTACATACAATGCAAGTTTTATTTCTTAAGGTATTCATCTATGGCAAATAACTTAAACAAAAATGCTGTGCCATAGGTTATAATATATCTCACCCTGTTGGTTCCCTCTTAACTTCATGCGATTCTTATCAATTAAAAGAGTCTGTATTCATTAAGGGAATAGTTTTGAACGTGCTGCTACTTTCAAGCAACAGTTGCGTAAGAGTCCTATTTAGTTTTCGTTAAAACCGATTGTTATCCATAGAACGTCCTGTGCTTTATCAACCTGAAGTTTGGATTAGAAATGAGTTTTAAAAAGTAAGATTAACGAGCGGGAGGGTAATGTTGACGGGCGGTAAACAGAAAGACAAAACTACACCATAATACGTTTGTTTTTATTTTATCTATTAATTTCACATACTTTATTCATACCGGTAATGTATACGAAAGCCTATTAGTACGCATTTGTTCATGTTATAACGTGACTATTTGCAAGTTAACGTGTTATTTGGCGTAAGAATGTGTTTATTTCGTGTTATTACGCGTTATTTTCTTGTAAGTGCCCCTAATAGGCTTTCGTAGTTTTTGTAAACATCAAGACGTAACAACATTTAATAACCATACCATTTAATAACCATACCATTCAATAAGACACAGTATAAGGTCACAATATACGATGCAGTTATATATATATGTATATCTTACGAAGTGAGTGATGAAGTATTCATATCGACAACATTCCTTATTTTGTACCACTTCAGTGTATGTTCTAATGTAGGTGCAACTAGTTTAACCTAGTTCGGTAGCTAAGCTAAAGAAGTTTCACGTTCAAAATTCCATTGTCATGTCGGCTGATATTCTCAAACATGACGTCATTTTATTGCGTGACACGTCATTTAATGACGTCTTTTGCCGAAATTCATTCGATATCTGACATCGGATCACCGAGGTATTCAATCTTTTAATAAACTCAATTGCTTCGATGGTTTTGCTAGAAATTGCTTTTACTTTAAAGTATTCTCCGTATACCATAAATTCTACCTTATCAAAAACAAATCTGCTATCTTTATTATTTCTTGCGAAATGTCATTGTCGATGTTCACCAAATTATCAGGTAAGAGGTGAGAGAAAAATAGTCAATAGTGATGGGGGAGAGGAACATTTTACACTCAGGTGAAGAGTCGGGCTTAGTATCACGGTAAAGCCTCGGTTCTGACCGAAATTCTAAACCATCGTGTAGAATATATTTATCAGTCGTACTTACATAGGATAGACACTAATGGGCTTGATGATCTTTTTGTATACAGTATTAAAAAACATATCCGGTAGTGATATGCCATAGTCACAATGAAGTCAAAGACAACTGAAATATAATCCGACAAAATGTTTATGGCATCATTGTAAAAACAGAAGAAGGAATATTCTAATAAACATCACAGGCATTAGATCCAGTACAAGTGATATTGCATCAAGTCACTAACGGATGCCGGTGGATCTGCATACCTAATTTGCTTGTAACGATTTTGCATAAAGTACGCAAAGCCGCAAGGTGTTCCAAACAGATGTATTTAACTTTTCAACCCTTTAAAACATTTCTGGAAAGAACTCACTTACACACAAATGTCATAGCTACATCACAGGAACTATTGAAAACAGTGCATTTATTATTATTGACACGTACCGGATGTATAATAAATATATAAGTATATGTACATGCTTGACCTTTTCAAACAATATTAATCGTACAATTCATGTTCATTTAATGACTCTCGCAATGGCACTTTGAGCACGTTCAAATATTGAAATTGTCACAATGTCACTTAAGATCTTTCCATCTACGAACTGCTTGCTGAATAGTCTGGACAGAGTTAATTTCTAGTGATCATCATACGCTCGAATATTGGGAACGACTCTTGTCTTGCTTAGAACAGCAACCCTGAAAATAAAGCAGTAACGCTTAAATAAAAGGAACAATCATGGAATTTCTTGAAACAGTTGTTGTTGAATCGATATCTTGTTTAATAACATTGGCAAGATAGCAAATACAATTTGCACTATATGAAACTAAACTGTTTCATTGCTATAGTCAGTAATGTTTAAGTAACATTTCGCATCACTCAACACATTGTTAAAATGCAACTAGATCATGCGTTAGTGCGGTTGCGATATGGTATGTTTAACATAGTCCTGCACTGCCTCGGAACACTTTGAAATTGGACTTTTATTCTTTTGACATTTGTGCCATTAATTCCTAAAATTGGTCTTACCGTACAGCAGAGAAAGTTGAAATATTACGGCTATTTCGCCGTGTTTCAGGTTTTATTATACGAAGTGAAAGGACTGTTCGATATTGCTTGATATTATTTGCATTATCACATCAGATTAAGCCTAATGCATTTCAGATAACCCTCAGACGCTGTGAACAATGTAATGGTGATGAAATATATATTGGTTTCAGCTTTAATCGATATTAGCTACCTATAAACAGCAAAGGTAATTTAAGAACATGTTTCCATGTGTTTAATGGATGGGTGAAATTAACTAACAAGAGGCTGATGAAAATGTTGAAAAACAATTCCTCGTTAGTTATATTTCTCACAGAATCGACTTAATGTGGATTACGTCTTTTCTAAATACCTGACCCACCTTGACGTAAGAACAGCCGCCCATTATCAGGGCAATGTGGGGAATGGCGTCCGCCCCCTCTGCCTTTTTGTACACTATGTTGTAGACAGTTCCTACCAGGAAGTAGGCACATAACAGCACCAACAACCTGTAAAAAAAGAGCAGATGATGTACATAGAAGACAAAAGCAGCACAAGCAAGCGGCAAACAACGGAAAATAAGAGTAGAAAAGGACCGACACAGCACTAACAACCTACGAACAATGGGCACAAAGAGTATATGAGACATTGCCAGCAACCGGTAAACAAAGGTCACGTATAGTAAATATGGGAACAGAAAAGTAGCAGCAATATGCAAACACATGACAAATAGTCTATATATAGGAACAGACGAGTAGTACCAACCAGCAAACAAAGAACGGGTAGAATATATAAAGGAACAGACGAATAGTAACAACCAGCAAACAAAGGACGGGTAGAATATATATAGGAACAGACGAGTAGTACCATCCTGCAAACAAAGGACGAGTAGAATATATATATGAACAGAAGAGAAGTAACAACAAGCACACAAAGGACGGGTAGGATATATATAGGAACAGACGAGTAGTAACAACCACCAAACCAAGGACTAGTAAAATATGTATAGGAACAATCGAGTAGCAACAACCAGCAAACAAACGACGGTTAGGATATATATAGGAACAGACGAGAAGCAACAACCAGCAAACAATGGACGAGTAGAAAATATATAGGAACAGACGAGAAGCAACAACCAGCAAACAAAGGACGGGTAGGATATATATATGAACAGACGAGTAGTAACAACCAGGAAACCAAGGACTGGTAAATTATATATAGGAACAAACGAGTAGCAACAACCAGCAAACAAAGGACGGGAATGATTTATGTAGGAACAGACGAGTAGCAACAACCAGCAAACAATGGACGAGTAGGATATATATAGGAACAGACAAGTAGTAACAACCAGCAAACAATGGATGAGTAGGGTATATATAGGAACAAACGAGTAGTAACAACCAGGAAACATTGGACGAGTAGAATATATATAGGAACAGACGAGTAGTAACAACCAGGAAACAATGGACAAGTAGAATATATATAGGAACAGACGAGTAGTAACAATCAACAAACAAAGGACGAGTAGAATATATTTATGAACAGACGAGTAGCAACAACCAGCAAACAAACGACGGATAGGATATATAGGAAAAGACGAGTAGTACCAACCAGCAAACAAAGGTCGAGTAGGATATAAATAGGAACAGACGACTAGTAACAAAGAGCAAACAATCATAATCGCAAATTTTCAAGTGTTTTATATGTTTATGAACATTGCATTCGGATTCGGGTAGGATATATATAGTAACAGACGAGTAGCAACAACCAGCAAACACACGACGGGTAGGATATATATAGGAACAGACGAGTAGTAACAAACATCAAACAAGGACGAGTAGAATATATATAGTAACAGACGAGTAGCAACAACCAGCAAACACACGACGGGTAGGATATATATAGGAACAGACGAGTAGTAACAAACATCAAACAAGGTCGAGTAGAATATATATAGTAACAGACGAGTATTAACAACCAGCAAACAAAGGACGGTTAGAATATATGTAGGAACAGACGAGCATAACCAACCAGCAAACAAAGGACGAGTAGAATATATATAGGAACAGACGAGTAGTAACAAACATCACACAAGTACGAGTAGAATATATATAGGAACAGACGACCAGTAACAAACAGCAAACAAAGGACGAGTAGAATATATATAGTAACAGACGAGTAGTAACAACCAGCAAACAAAGGATGAGTAGAATATATATATAGTAACAGACGAGTAGTAACAACCAGCAAACAAAGGATGAGCAGAATATATAAAGGAACAGACGAATAGTAACAAACAGCAAACAAAGGACGAGTAGGATATATTAAGGAACAGACGACCAGTAACAAAGAGCAAACAATCACAATTGCAAATGAATTTCGCAAATTTTCAAGTGTTTTATATATTAATGAACATTGCATTTGATACACGTGTTCAATGAAGGTCTTTATCCAGATGAATAGTAGCTGACTTACACTATGAATACCACCCACCCAGCCGACAGTCCACTGCCATCTTGGGAAGGTGGGTATATAGGATAAAATGCACATGCGTGGATACTCCTAAGCTCCATGTTCTAAAAACAGAAATAAGGTAGGTATATGTATGTAAAAATGCCAACCGCATACATATTTACATACATATTTACATACATATTTACAGAGAGACATTCCAATAATGTTTTAAAAGATACTTAAACAACGTTATGGTAGGAAATAAGATTTATTCTACTCCACGGAGCATTACTCTCGTCTGTCAAAGTCTTTACAAAAGACGTTTGCAAAATATTTTTTCATCGTTATTTTGTACTTTGGGAATTAATCGATGAAAAAAATAATGGAACAAACAGATGCATGCATTTCACGCGGGTGCGATAAGTAGATGATGTTCTTTGAAAGCTAGGGATCCTCGTATTGTCAAAAACATTAACCACACGTTTGGAAATTTTTCAGCATGACTATAGCTTTGATATTAATTTCTGGAGAATATCAGTGGGGGCCAGACCGGGATTGGAATCTGGACCCATGATCAGCATACTGTCGCTCTCAAAAATAGAGCTACCTGGTAAACGGTACTACCCTCACCATGATCAGCATAATGTCGTTCTCACAAATAGAGCTACCTTGTAAACGGTATTACCCTCATCATGATCAGCATACTGTCGCTCTCACAAATATAGCTACCTGGTAAACGGTACTACCCTCACCATGATCCGCATACTGTCGCTCTCATAAATATAGCTAACTGGTAAACGGTACTACTCTCACCATGATCAGCGTACTGTCGCTCTCAAAAATAGAGCTACCTGGTAAACGGTATTACCTTCACCATGATCAGGATACTGTCAATCTCACAAATAGAGCTACCTGGTAAACGGTATTGCCCTCACCATGATCAGCATACTGTCGCTCTCACAAATAGAGCTACCTGGTAAACGGTACTACCCTCCCCATGATCAGGATACTGTCACTCTCACAAATAGAGCTACCTGCTAAACGGTACTTGCCTCACCATGATCAGCATACTGCCGCTCTCACAAATAAAGCTACCTGGTAAACGGTACTACCCTCACCATGATCAGCATACTGTCGCTCTCACAAATAGAGCTAACTGGTAAACGGTACTACCCTCACCATGATCAGCATACTGTCGCTCTCACAAATAGAGCTACCTGGTTAACGATACAACCCTCGCCATGTCGTGTAACACTTATATCCAAAACAGTTTTAGAGGGAATGTGGTTGTATTTACGTAAAGCTACAGAAAATTATTTCGTGTTTCGGCTGCAGCGGGACAGGAATATTTAAAAAGAAAATAATAGTCATGCCATATAAGTAAGCAGGTACCCTTCTTAGTCCTTAATGGCTGTTGATCGTGTATAACAGACGGACTTACGTAAATGGCTGATCCCTCGATGGACTCCCCAATTACTGTCAGATTGTCTACGGCATTCCCTGTGCAGTACAGCGTAACGATGGTCGTACTGCCAAATATAGAATAATGTGATACATGGTTTAATTGTATAGTACTGAATTCAAATCTCAATTTAATAACTGTCGTATCGACAGCTCGTTTATATAAATAACTACAAAACAAGATTTGTGAAAGTGATTTAAATCGCCACAGTAGGAGATGTTTTCCATTATATGTTCTTTTAGTGATAATTTAGTTTTGGTTAATGATATTATATGATATTTGTTACATTATATACATTCATTGCTACATTTTTTTCTGTACATTCAAGTTATATATACTCATACTGTATCATATGGCTTGACTATCTCAGAATGTGTTTATATATACAATGTACGTGGATTACTCAGCGTTATGACTTACTAGAAATGTATCATATATGTGAAATATATTCAATGGTGTTCCGTTGGAAATAACATATTTCAAAAGTCAATACCATTCGCGGAAAATATAAACAACAATGGATAATCTGTTCGTTACACTTCTACAGAACACAGATGTTTAGAACCAAATACAAAGCTTGTGTACATTATGATGATAATAAATATCGTACTTGAATTCGTAATGTTTACAAATGAAAATTATGTAAACAAAATTTCCTGACATTGCATAAATTATTCTTTAAAAACAATTTGCGTTTATTGATATTGATGGGACAAGATGAGACAAAGCATCCTATGTGAATGTGTTCAATGATTTGTACATTTACACAGTAATGAAGATATCAGATTTACACAGTTGATAACACCCGGTACATCACTGATTGTTATAGATATACCGTGGTCCACATTTGTTGACAACGACTAACCTGTTCACTCCTTGGTAACCTAGAACTAGGTCAGCATCGTTTCTATATATGAAGAATGCGGAATCCTGTGTTCCTACGTCATAGTAAGTAGAATTAGGTATCATACTTTCTTCCCTACATACCTGACAGAAATAACAAAGAATGTCATATATAATAAATTGAATAGGTGACATGTATTTCGACGTTATCATATAAACTCGTACAATATATATTAGAAAAAGGAACTTTTGCAGACTGTTTAAGGGATACAAGCCTCACTGTTTTCACTTAAGATGTTTTTCGCACATAAGGTTGCATGATTTGATAACATCATAATGTCAAAAAATGTCCAATAAAAAGTGTTTCAACGTTTCCATTATTTAACATCTGTGTGGATTATACAGAAACGGTCAACGCTTAATCAACTTACTAACTATACAGAGCCAGTTTATCAATAAATCACCTTACTAATTATAAAGAGTCAGTTAATCAATTAATCAATTTACTAATTAAATCAATAGACACTGATAAACATTCTAAGGTTACATCACCCATTTATTGGTCCATCAACATTAATACAATTTTAAAACAGGTAGCATACATCAATGTAAACCTGAGAACCAAGTGACGGCTGTAAACTAAACTATATATTTACCGCCACATTGACACATGCTTCCTCAGTGAAGCTGATGCACGGGTTCCAGTAGAATCGGTTCGCAATGGTTATTGTGTCTTTTACTGAAGAAAACCTGATAAGTTAAAATAGAATATTGATTTAAATTGTAACATATTGTGTATATGAAATATTGAAATCTGGTCCCATATAAAATAACACGCCTTAATTGTGTAATTATGTTGAACGGTATTGTCATTTTACTTTTAAAATATTACAAAAGGAACTTAAGTCGTTTCCTTACACTGCAGTTAATACCATAACGCTGAAACAACACGAAGAAGAACTATTGTTTACGTGTAACTAGAATAATTATAATGATTATGTACATACATAGATTGGACTGTGGCTATCTTAAACAGTGTATAAAACAGTTTTAATGCTTAAATTGTAAAAGGGCCAACAAATCATGACATATATGAAGATAACAATCCCTTATTTAGAACAACCAGTACATTGCTAAAATTGGAAACAAGTTTTCATCAATAATCACTCAACTGTAAATAATGAACTAGGTACTTAATGAAAGAGCTTCAAAATGATTTTTGTTACATATCAAAGGATTTTTTGCCATGCTCAATACATGTTCGTTGTTATTATATATATATATATATATATATCTAACAATCGTTCATACCAAATTTAGTTAAAGCTTGTTAGAGAATACGATTAGAATAGCTCAGCCAATCAGACGCTAGAGCGGCCATCTTTTATTTGATTACACATGATTAATGCTATTTAAGGAGCTTACGTTACAAATAGGTACCAATTAGGAATCAGGAAAGGAAAAATGGGTAAAAACTGCTCACTTTGTCTTTCTGAATACATACTACATACTTAATTTAAAACAGTGGCTTCATTAGCCGATTTTCTGTCTTCTATTTTGAGGCATAATATTTAATTAAGAATAAAACCAGAAACATCAAAATAACAAGTGTCAAAAGTTGGTCTGATGAATAAAATTATGACGGAAGTGCGACCGAATTTTTAAAACCCTTTCTCACTGAAAGGATATATTGGGTATCACAATGAGTTTTAATATTTATGATTTCTCCTTAAATACAAAATGTACCACACCGTGTACTTACCAAGCCGTTCCATCCTTTTTAGAAATGGGAGACAGGTCGATAATCCCACCATCATCCTGTTGACATGAGCAGGAATTAATCTTCTTGCATTCTTTCCCATCAGCAAAAAAGAAAAGCGCAGAGAAAATGATACATAGCATGAACCATTGTCCCTCCCGTGAACAGTTTGATAGCACAGCCATTATTTCGTTTGATGGAATACTGTCGTTTCAAAGACAATATTTAAAAGTGACAGGTTGTTAGGACATTTTAACCTACAGACCGGATGTACTGAACTCTGACCCCCTAACGAGGTGCCTTTCATGTGACAGTCTACACCCGGGTAGATTAGATAACAACATATACGTATGAATATGAACATTTTGCAGTTTGATAAATTTAGGTCACGTGAAAAAGTATCAGCATACACTTGACGGATAACACCTACAATTTTACGGGCAGATTTGTATTGGGATGTATTACATACTTACTAATAAATATGGGTGTTTTGTATATGCGATACTACACAATTGCTCTAACCCATATCAGCCCTCGCCGTATCACCCCCCCCCCCCCCCCCCC